CAGAGACGATCCCCTCTTGTTCTATTGCGGCATTAACGAGTGCGAGGGCCTGGAACCCTGGCATTCGCAGTTCGAGCACTTCTTCGCGCTAGCACAGATCGGTCGGGAAGCGTTCGGCGTAGAAGTCTAAGTCGGCCCGTGCCCCTATAATCCTCATTCGCGAATTAAAAGAACCGTTGCGGTACCTATATACTGTCAGTCAATTTTTCTTGTTCTTATAAGATAGACAATCTCAAGAGTCGAACCGGTGTTCTCCACTTTTGATGTATAACAAGACTCACATTGGCGTGACAGTGGCTTTATCCCAAGCGCGACTGACCAGAGATAGGCTGTGAAGGTCTCTGAGATTACATGCTGAACATGGCCTTTCCTGATCGAGATGTATTATCTCCAGCTGCGCAATGATACAATCGTATATTTCTCTCGGTAGGTGCCTGAACATGTTCGCTGGAAGCCGACTCTTTGCAGTCTCCGGTCGCTGTCTCCTGTGCCGTTCGAGCCCCCACGATGATGTCTTCGTAATATGTGGCGTTTCATGCCAGACAGGAGATGATGAGCTACCGAAAGCAGATATCGAAATAGTCGCGGGCTCGGATGTCGCTGGGTACAATTGTGGTTGTTGAGACATGGGCACATTGCCGTTTTTTCGGTCACCGCCGCGACATACGATGTAGGAGAGCCAGCACTACCCAACTGTTAGCCCACTCTGGGGTGACAAAATATCGCGTTGAGCGAAGAAATTGGCAGGATAACATACAGTGCAGTACAGGCACGAATTTTGTTGTCCTTCTTAGGTGTCAAAAAGCTCGAACATATTTGACACCGCGCGTTGATGCTGAGATGGAAAGACGGAAGGAAAGGAAATAAGCGACCAAATCAGCAGCTGAGATAACGTGCTACCCGTGAGGTTTCAGCAGTTGGGGTGGAATGTGCGCGCAAAGACATAAGATGTGTGCACAGTTTCAGTATAAGTGAGTTGCACTACCACACAACAATAAACTGTCCGAGATGCTGGGTCATATATCCCACGTAAGCCATGGATAGTCGCAGCGTAATGTCGGGTGAAAGCCAGTGTGGGGAAGATCTGCGAATCATATTTTAGTACCCAAGATGCTCCTTGTCGATTCATGGGCAATGCGCTACCGGTACGCCAAATCGCTTGTGATGGCCCAGCCTCGCAGCACGGGCAATGAAACTGAAATTGAGTGCGCCACCTTTGCCATAATATGGTTGAATGGGTGCTCATACTTTGCGCATACTTCCAAGAGATGCAGCAGTGTTTGACAAGCATTCGACATTCGTGCTGGTTCTCATGTGTTGATCCTCTGAATGGCAATTTTTGATAATCGGCAACTTGAGGAGCGTCATTTGAGAAACCCCAGTCTCGACTCACCCACGAAAGCCTCTGACAACGGCTGAAGATCCGGCCAAAGTTTGTGATTTGGAAGGCTGGAAAGTGTGGTGGTAAGTTCGGCATACGGACCCACATCTTCCGACCCGTTCGCGAATCGAAAGCTTGGACTTGATCTTCACCTCCACTGTTTCCCGTCGAACTGCACGTTACCGCCGTAGCTGAGGACTATCTCCATCTCCAATGATATGTTTAGAGGCAGTCAGGCGAGGAATTAGAGCGCACCGCGCGCAAATCAAACTTGTCGAAAGACATCAAATTTATCAACGTGCGGCCAGGGAGTTCCCGCCCGTTATTGCGACATGTCTTAGCCAATAAATGATGCACTTACAGGCGGCAACCAGATAACTTCCGAAAGGCGATCTTCGGAAGCTTGGAATGTGCGATTAGGCGATCGGTTCACGTCCCCGATCCTCCATTCGAGTCCTAGCACTCATCAGCAAATGCAATGATGGAGATGGGCTCTCACATGCATACCTATGTAGATGCAATCGCTTTCACGATCGACGAGCTGACTCGTCGACATAGGAAGGGAATTTGCCATAGATTAGCTGCTCGATGGGGATTCCGATGTGCGCTGAGTCCGGACCGATCTCAGCGTCCATACAGCACACTGTTGCCCGACATGGCACAGCGCCATAGTCAACGCAATGTCCGCGATATGGCATAGACCTCGCGAATGCAGGTACCCGTCCTGGTGAAACACTGGCTTTCCTTCGCGACCCCTGAGTTAGGCGTCAAGCCTCACGGTAAAAGTGTTGAAAGTTGAAGGCGCACCGGAGAGTTTGCCGGCAGGGCGCTACGTGTATTGAACCCAGAAGGCTATCGCACCCCATCGCCGGTTTACCGTGCGCAATAAAGCAGATTTGAGCTTCGAGATCGAAGAAGAATCCCGCAGGGCAATATCGACAAAACAGCGTTGCGTACATGTCAATAGCACATCCAACATGCTCATCTCGTACACGACTACCGAACAAACCATGATCACCGCGATGTTCGAAACAAATGATAAGATTCGTGGTCAGCACCTTCCAAAATAGCAACTCTTTCTCAAACCTGCCTCATCCAGTAACATTGATTGCGGCACTAAAATGTCGTGAATAACTAGCGTCCTGTATGCGCTGAGGATGGATGCTAGCGGATCGATCGTACCGACGCTCCCGGTTATGTACTTGAATGGCAATGATCGGCGGCTCGAAGCGGACGCGACTTTGATATCGCGAAGAGCACTGTGATGGATGCGTAAATGAGTTGTTCGTTTGAGATATAGCGCAAGAGGAAATGTGTTTCGCCTAGGGCAGATGGATGATGTCATTATTGGACTTCGCGGGAGGGTTTCAATTACAGCGATGTGTCTAATTGCTTGTCAGCACTCATGAACGTTAAGATTTTGGATGACGTACCTGATACTCTCCGCCACATTGATGTACCGAAGTTCTTGGAAGGATCTCATCAACATCACGATTGTTTTGGCAATGTAGAAGAGTGGTTTGCAGAACATATTAATCGAATTCGAAATATCACATTGGTATATTACTGCGCTCCGTATTCCTCATGACCATAATCATCCTTTCAGATTCAATTTCAAACTCACAGTACCTTTCCATGCCTTTCGTAGGCTCATGCATTCTTTGCTTTTCTCCGATATGCGAATCTCACACTTCTTGACGCGCTTACAAGAAGTAAACAGCAGCGGCACCAAGAAGAGCACCGACGCCGACAGCGCCGTTCTGGGTAGCAGAGCCAGTTGAAGCGGCAGGGGCGGAGCTGGAAGCAGCAGATCCAGTGGGTGTGGCACCGCCACCGAGGGTCTTGCTCGCAGTGGGGACACCGGACGTGAAGGGGGCGTCGGAGACGGATGACGCACCGCTGAAGGCAGGGGAGCCGGCAGAAGCGGAGGGGTCAGCGATGGAAGCGTTGGCGGGGTTTAGGACGCTGGAGGATTTGTTAGTTGAGAGATCTATGAGAGGATTTTTCAGCTTGCTTACTTGTCGATAACGTGGACGACACCGTTGGCGACGAGAACGTCAGGGGTGATGACACGAGCACCGTTGACAAAGACCTTTCCGTCGACAACGGTGATGGTCAAGTTCGCGCCATTGACAGTCTTGAGGGAAGTGCCGTTGGTCAGACCGCTGCTGTAGCCGACAGCGCCGGCAACGACGTGGTAGGTAAGGACACTGGTGACCTGCTCGGTGGTGAGGTTACCAAGACCAGAGCCGATGGCCTGGAAAGCAGCGTTGCTAGGAGCGAAAATGGTGACATCCTTGGTGGTGTCGACAGTCTCAACAAGGTTGGCGGCGGTAAGAGCTCCAGCGAGGGAGGAGAGACCAGCAGCGATGGCAGTGTTGGAAGCAGTCTCGGGGATTGTGAGAACAGTGTCGATGATGTGGATAACACCGCCGGTGAAAGCAACGTCCTAGGGCCGATTAGTCGCGGAAACGTGTTTGGATTTGCAATACACTTACAGCGGTGGTGACGGAAGAGTTCATGGCGAGTCCGCTGAAGATGGAAACTCCGCCATTGGCGGTCTTCGCACTGACGACCTGACCCCCAGTAACCTGAAACAAAGTTAGAGATAGCTCAATTGGGCATTCAGGTGCATATTGGTGCTGCTTACATTGGTGAAGGCAGAGTTAGTCAAGAGAGTAGGCACGAAAGCGCTGGTGTTGGTGATGGCGGAGGATGGTACAGTGGCGTTCAATACGTGGTCTTTGGGAGTTAGCACGAGCTAATGAAGTGATTGCTTAATTAAGCTTACACTGAAGGAGAGCAGAAAGAAGTCCGGTGTTGGACTGGAGAGCGGACAAAGTTGCGTTGTCGACCTTGGCAAACGCAGCATTTGAAGGTGCCAGAATGGTGATGTTCTGTGCGCTACCGAGAGCCGTGACGAGCTCAGGAACCAATCCGAGCACAGTGCTCAATGTGGTCAAGTCGGTCGAGGAGTTCAGGGCCTGTACGAGGGAGGGAGTGTTCTGTGCGAACGCCTGGCTCGCAAGAGCGAGGAGGGAGAGCTGCTTGACAAACATGGTGATGGTGAGCGAAGGTGGATTGAGATTTCGTGTAGTTTGAGTGTGGAGATATCCTGGAGATGCTGATGGGAGATTTGTCTCCACGAGGGCACGTCAGAATATATACCGCGCAAGGCTCGTTCTGACCGAATATACCACCGACTAGGCGACAGCAGGCATTGCCATGATTTCCCAAGCGCGTGTCAACAAACGCCACCTGCCCGCAGCATTGGATGACAGACAAGTGTTACACCCTTGCCCGATGAGTATCATAGCTTGAGCACGGTAACCGAGCTTCAGGTGATGCCATCGTACACTCTCCACTGGGCCCTGGACGATAATCGCCAAGGGTATTAACGAGCCAAACAATGACTAGACAGAGCGCATACAATACGGTCACCGTGGCGTGCTCAGAAGCTAGCGAACTTGGCAACCGCGTGCTTGGAGGAATTGAACGGGCAATTGAGGCTGTGTGCTCAATCTTGGGGAAGATTCACCCTTGTAATCGGCCGTCTTACGATGTCATACAATTTGGCCCCAGTCTTCATCTGCGTTCATGTCTCTTACTCTTCTGCTTCTCTTTCCGCCGCATCATTAGAGTTCCTTTGGCCAAGAGGTCATTACGAAACACTTTCAATAGACTTGAACGGCTCGCTTGACTGCAGAAACTGAGGTCCATTCAGATGCTCCAGGGCGCCGGTCGATCCGAATGCTGTGGGGTAACAGGCCCTCGTCTTGGCATACGCAGACTATTGACGCTTTGAGACTGGCCTGGAAGGCCTTGGGCGCGAGAAAGACTTGGTGGTCTTGATGATTCGATTTGTGAATCGTGCATTCTTGCAGCGGATCGGCGCGTATGAGGCTTACCTCCACCGGTTGATTGCGTTGCTGCGTTGGAAATCAAGGTCATCTTACTCTGATGTTTCTGACCTAGTCCTGAAAGGTGATATCTAGCTTGCTTTAGGTAACCGCTAAGCTGTACATGGCAATCAAGACTGAAAGTGTGCTTCGGGGTCGTGTCCGACTTCTACGCCGCAATCGTGACCGAATTTTTCCTGGAGAACTTGTCTGCAATTGCTGGGTCTGGTACCTGGAATTATGCAGGGCACAACCTAGCTACATGCGTCATACCACAGCTTCACGATTTCTTTCTCATCTCATCACGATCCTCCAACTTCTATTTTTCCATGCTGCGGTCAATGCGACTGTTGACCGTGCATGACTTGATACAAAGCTTCAGGCGCTGCCAGAGTAAGCAAACAGTCAATGCAGTATGTTGTGTCGCAGTCGGCAACCCACTCTCGGTCACCGGCTGACATATCCGCAAGCGAGGATATAAGCTGGCGATGTTCCACGATCCGTGAACCATTTTGTCTAAGCATCGAGCATACAAGGTGAACATGAAGATGAGGCAGTGCAGTGATATGCGCACCGGTGTAAAATCGCCGGCGTCATGTTCATCGCTCCCTGAACTGTCTCGCACCGTGCCGCCCATGTACATTTTCCACGAGCATCGGGAGCCGTTGCTCCAAGCACGCTACGGGGACCCACAGCGTTCTGACTTCTTCGTTTCGAGCGTTGGGGCTAACAGCTGGGGTACAATCCCTGACGTCGCTCACGCTTCGGTAAAAATTCGCCGTGTTTGCTAAGATGCTTGGGAGACTAGTGGGATGCGCGGAGACCGGCCAGAGCATTGCTGGCAACCTGCTGCGCAATACAATGGATACCTGCTTGAGTAACAGCGCGCATCGGATCACTCATCTTGAACGCGACTTTCGTGCTCTTTTGTGCTTTACATTTCATAGGTATGTGTCGAACATCATCTTACTTCAAGGCCAACATCTCCCACTCGTCTATTTGGGCGCCTTCCACCAGCTCTCCGTCCATGCAGCCATGAACGTAGCAGTCGCCAAACAGTCTGTATTGCTTGTTCACACTGCCCGGCTCTTGACGAGTCTTTCTCAGCATGAATGGTGTAGATCTACCGAGAAGGACAACCACAAAATGTCCAACCTTTGCATTCTCCCGCGCCGGAGTCAAGTTGCCTTTCGTAGTCACACATACTCGTCGTCCAGATGTACCCGCACGATTGAAGAATTGATACGAGAGACAGTAGGAAATTTGTCCAGGAGTCGGCATTTAGAGTCGTTCAATTCTGGATGTTTCCCAATGTACCAGAGAATGAATACGACAATATCGGTGACCTTAGCCCGTCGCTTTGGTGGCTCACATACGTCGCGGTCGCCCACAGGTTCGTGTGAAAATAAACTACCAGATTCTGCTGTAGTATGGGGTTGTCAGCGGGAAGTGCGTGCCAGAACTTGTTGAAGTCGTTGCCTTTCTGAGCATGGTTTGGGTGTTGAGCCCGCAATTGTTCCTTGATAGCAGGAAGTTGCCTAGTCAAGCCTGGGGACTTTGCATCCCAAGATTCACCATTCGCGAGGACGATGCAGTCGACAATGTGTCCTGCTACATCGAGAAGCTGGCCACGATCACGCACCTTGCAGCGAGGTTTTGAGTTACCAGAGGTCGAGCAAATTGGCTTGTAGATTTCGTTCAGTATCCTGATCCGATCTTCCACCCACCAGTTAACGTTATTCCAATCAGTTACCCATGAGGGTCCTGTCCAGACAACCGTGGTTGCATGCACCTCAACGCATTCTGGCCCGCACGTATTGACGTATCTGGATGCATACCCATTCAACTTGCGATACAAACGAACGGCGTATGCTTTCGCTTTCAAGTCATATCAAAGTGCGACGGGCGGAATCCTATATGTTGGCCCAGGCATACGATAAAGCCTGGTAGTCGGGCCCAGTATTGATGTTGGTGGCGAGAAGCTGACAACGTATACGCTGTCCCGTCTCATCGGGGTAAACGTGAAGGAGCCGAATATGATCCTTGGGCAACCTGTTGTATGTGGACTGGACTTCCATGGCACTTGCACGTTGCAGTGTTGACAGGCGTTGATGCCATATGATGGCGATTGGCTGGAAGACACTTAGTCAGTCTTTTGCGTCTCAGCTGAGCCCAATAAGCCGACTGGTTCGGGCTTCGTGCAGAGAAGACTAATGCACGTCATACTCATGTGACGGAACAAGTCGTATCCGCTTTGCGAAGCAACCTTTTTATCCTCTCAATTTGGAGCTTGGGCCAATCGACACATCCTGGACGCATTGACTTCAACACAAGACGTTGGCAAAGGTTTGCGGTAGGCGTCCGGTTATGTTTCGAAAGCAATGATGTCAAAAATATATGATGACAGTGCTAATTATCATCCCAACTGGCCCTCGTAAAAACCATAATGATCCAAATTCACACTATCGTTGTCATTGTTCGACATAAACGCCGTGGTATACTCGCTGAACAAGTCTGCCATGTTGGCGCCTGGCGCAAATCCCAGATTCTGCATGAATTGCGGCTGATTGTCCACATCGTTTGCGGTGTCTAGAGATGCTAGCTCGTCAAAGAAGCCTTCAAGGTCGCTCGGCATTTGCTGATATTGGAAGCCTGTCTGATTGGATGATGCAAGTTCCAGGATTGGGTCGATATACCCAGTCGGTGGGTTTGCTGGCTGCATATCGGCTGAGACAGGGCGGAGCGGGAAGGACTCGGTCCCCGCATGGCTTCCGGAGAATAGCTGCGGGAGGCTTTGTTCATTTGACAAGGGTCTCGTAGCGGTGCTGGCCTGGACCGTAGATGTGCCTAGCTTCATTTTCGGCCAGACTGCATCTAAAGCAACCTGTACCTGGACAAGGCGATCATGCACACTACGCCCTAGGGACATTTCGGTACTACGCTTTTGAACCACGCTGAATAGGATCGGGAGAACAGGCGGTAAGTTCCACCAGCCGATATCGGTTTGAGCGCGTTCAAATAGCTCTAGTGACCGCCGAAGCCATTGCTCAGACGAAGTCAAAACGAGGCGTGTACAATAATAAGCCATTCTCAGAAGAATTGCTGCCGGATTTAGGGTCTCGGATATACCCAAAGTATGAATGAAATCTAACTTGACGGGCAAGGAAGATTCCCAGAGGCCCAAACGCGTTAGCGCTTCTGCTGTGGGCTTGCGATTGTCACTTAGCAAGCTGATGAGATCCAGTATGGCGTTAAAGCTACTGAGAGCCATAGTCGGTGCTCTGGGTTGCTGACCTGTATCGAGGGCGCCGAGCCAAGGTTGCCATTCATCAAGGCCATCTTCGTCTATGCTTCCGAACCTTCGGGCTTCGTCCACGTGGAGGTATGGGCGTTGGCCAAGATGTAAAGCGATTAGACTATCTAAAAGGAAGCACCCATGGAGCACATGCTTATAGGTCGAGTTGCTGTCAACCAGAGGCTGGTCCATGACCTGGAGAGTGCGAGACGCAAGCCCCACGAGTAACCATGCAGTTTGAGGGGACGATCGGCTGAGGCTGACGAGAGCAATGTTAACCAGAGCTTTGACATGACCGATACCAAGAAGGGCCACCTCTTCCGGTATCAAAGATCTAGCTATCGCATACATCTCCTCCGGCAAAGTACGCACAGAATTTGGTTGCTTCGCCGAAATTGGCTTTGCCGTATCATGCATGCTGGCCACAGCTAGGATACTGAATAGCTCTGCATGGTGAGCTGATCCAGAGGATTTCGAAGAGAGAACAATGCCTCCAGTCGGATACGAATACAATGTTCTCAAAGCGTCCTGTTTCGAACAGATTGGCAACCATGCTTGACTGTAGGTAAAATAGACTTCTAGAAGTCTCCAGCTGTCTGACGGCAGAACTACACGTTCTTGCAGCCCTGTTTGAGAGGGACATGAGGTGGAATGTGGCTGACCCGGATCCTGAATTGAAGTAGACTGGTTCTGCGCTTGCAGGGGACTTTGAGTATTGGTTGACACGAGCGCAGCAGCGAAAGATGAGTCTTCTGCAGCTGACTCATCGTCACTATCCGACGATACCGGTTCTGACTGATCGTGCCTCGATGGCTCGCCGCCTGATAGAAGCTTGTCGACATCGGTATAGAAACGAGCTTTCCTCCAACGTCTGTGAAGCTTGTTCGACTCTTTTGAATCGCGACTCAGTAATAAAGAGGATGAGCCCTTTTGGGCCAACTGGTCATGCACTAGGGCTTCATTTTCCGGATCATGCTGGAAGAGATAGGCAAGGGCTAGCTCAAGAGCACGGATGTAGCCTGGCTGAATGCCTCTCTTCTTGACATTTGCTGTGTAAGTGCATGCTCTTCTAGATGTCGAACACGTCGAGCATGTGGGCTGCAATCCATTGCACTTTTCTCTTGCTAGGCGACATTGGTCACATGCTCTGGAAACCCTGGTTCGTTTGACAGGGTTATCTGCAGCTTGGGTCGCGCGACGTTTTGGTGCTCCTGTCGACATAGCATTGAGCTAATGGACTACCTCATTCGATGGCGTGAGAAAAAAAAGGCAAATATTCAACAGTTTCCCGATTGCAGGACTGCTGGGCAGCGGTCAGGTCCTGGTCGCAACACATGCGGGTTTGGAGAGGTTCACCACTTGCATGCCTTCATCGCGGTTGATGCGAGCACAGCTAATTGTCGAGAAGTCGATGGGCGTGGTTGGGGATCGGTAAAGGATGGTCTCAGATTGGTAGGGAAAAACACTCATCCGATCTCGCTTCGAGGCAAAGGGAAAGCGCGGCGCGAACCCTGGCTTCCACCCACGACGCATCTACCGCGATCTTCCCCACCGAGTCGCGCCATGGCACCACCAGAACTCAGCCTAGATATATTACATATCGCGATAATATGCACACCAGGCTGATTCTTGTTTTGCGCTCTGAGCGACTAACTCTTGGAGACCTGACATGATCGCAATGGCTTCAGCTGTAGTAGGCACGAAGAGGTCCTTCGCAACCATGAGCGGCGAAAGTATAGCCGGCATAGTCTCAACGCACACTCCGGGCCATGATGCTTTTGCCTCGCACTTGAGAAACGCTATCGCAGAGGCAACTTGTATGGCATCCATTGACGCTTCCGTTTTCTCAGCGGCGCTTTCCAGCTAACAATACACAGCTTCTCAGAGCTCAAGCGCACACTCCACTCAACGGAACACGCCCGCCCCAGGAGCACTACACAATGCCGACGTCCGCCGAAACTTCAAGCAAGATGCTTCGATTGTCTTGCTCGGAATGCGAGGAACTGGGAAGTCAACACTGGCTGTGATTGCATCCATTGCTTGCCGAAGACGAGTAGTCGACATCGATGCCCTCTTCCAGGAAGCAACTGGCTTCTCCACCGCGAGATATCGCAAGCAGTTCGGCGCAGCCAACCACAACTTGCGTCAAGAAGAGCTGCTCCAGACTGCATTGCAGTTGCATGACAAGGGCGCGATCATCATATGCAATGGAGGCTCCCTTGAGCGAAACGGGCAAATGCTCATGCAAGAATTTGCCAAGACACATCCAGTCGTGCACATCGTACGAGACCTTCATGAAATCCACGAATATCTTGGTGGGATCGAGCTGCAAAAGCTCAAGGACATGCTAGAGTTCACAGCACCCATCCTACGGCGTTGCTCAAACTACGAGTTCTTCAACATTGCGGAAACAGCAGCCAATCGCAATGCTGTACTCGCAGCCTCATCTGGAGCACCGGCTTTCCTCACACTAAAGCGAGCACAAAGGACGTTTCTCAAATTCTTGTCACTGATCACGACTAGCAATGACGCGCATGGCCCTGCGAGTACCACAATACCACCACTCGAGCCGGGCTATCCACTCTCCGATGTAGCGACGGAGCTCAGGACGTACACATGTGCGGTACAGGTCCCCCTTTCAGATCTGCTAGCGGAGGATGCCAATATTCAGAATCTCGAAGTAGGCGCCGATGCTTTCGAAGTCATGATCGACCCCGACTCTGATACATTGTCCGACATCAGCTACTGTGTCTCTAAAGTTCGGAGAAGCACTGTTGTACCTATCATACTTCATATTCTTCCCAGACCGAGTTCGAGCGATGGTCGTTTGAACTACTTCAGATGTGTACATCAAAGCTTACGCACCGCGCCTGAGTTCATAACTTTCGACATGTCAATCGGAGAGGAGGCGCTCACCGAGCTTGTTGCGGCGAGAGGGATCACGAAAGTCGTCGGGCATTTGCATTCTGACAAACCCTGGGCTGATGCTTTTTGGAGCTCGCAATATGATATGGCTGCTCGACTTGGTTGCGCACTGACTCGCTTTAGTCGTCCCGCTGAGACTTCCGAGGATGACTACTTCCTTCATAAGCTGAGATACGAGATCAAAGCCATGCGAGGCCAACCGATTCCATTGACGTGCTACAACACTGGGAAAGCTGGTCGTCGATCTCTATGCTTTAGCCAACATCTTGCGCCCGTGATTCCCAGCTCAACTAAGAGGAGCTCTGCGTTCTCTGCAAGGCTGCAGCGCAACCCAGAGATGCCTTGGGTCACTGCTCGAGAAGTGACTCAAGCTCTCTACGCCTCTTTCACGTTCGACCCGATGCAAATCTACATCATCGGTGCATCTCTCGGGTACAGTGTATCACCAGCCATGCATAATACTGCCTACGAGACGTGCGGGATGCCACACCGCTTCCATCGCGCGCAAAGCTCGTCCTTGAACAGCCTCAAAGAGTTGGTTCGCGAGTCAAATTTCGGTGGCTCAATTGTCATACAGCCGTACAAAGTAGAGGTCATATCGCTGACCGACTCGTTGAGCCAACATGCTCGAGCAATTGGCGCTGTCAATACCTTGATACCTGTTCGCAACTTGAAGGCCAACAACAGTATTCCTAGCGAGCTGGAGCTATTTCAAGAGCGCAATCAATCTGGACCAGTGCAGGCCTTGTACGGCGACAACACGGAATGGATCGGTATTCGTTCGTGTGTGCGACGCGGACTTTCTCCGGCAAACGCAGTACGACTCACAAGTTCCAGTCTTGTTATCGGAGCAGGCGGCATGGCTAGAGCGGCTGTGTATGCATTGCTACAACTCGGGGTGAAGAACATCGTCATCTTCAACAGGACCGTGAACAAAGCAGAGAAGCTCGTGGCCCACTTCAACCGTATTGCATCAGCGACAGCGGCTGGTACTGCCACCTCTATGAAACTACAAGGGCAGAACTTGGACTTCCATGTTCTGCAAACGCGAGATGATGCGTGGCCAGAGAATTTTCGCCAACCAACCATCATCCTCTCGTGTATACCAGCAGATCCGATAGATGGCGGTCCTGCAGCGCAGTTCACGCTGCCACCGGCATGGATGTGCAGTCCGACGGGAGGAGTGGTTATGGAAATTGCATACAAGACACTCAATACTCCATTGATGTTGCAAGTGCGCGAGAAGGGGTCTTTTTGGACATATCTCGACGGTCTTGATTTCTTGCCTGAACAAGCATTTGCGCAGTTTGAGCTCTTCACAGGTAAGATGTTCCCTCCGTCAGCTTTGTTCACCGTAGCTTACACACTTTCAGGAAAACGTGCGCCGCGACGAGTGATGCGTGAGGAAGTGCTGCGTGCTTGGAGGGACGAACAGGGCAATGCTGATCCAGAGATGGTGGAGAGGAGACTGAAGGCGATCGATGACCAGGAGCCGTGATGGATGGTGTAAGCGTAGATACCCAGCGTTTTGAAGTACAATTGACAGGCTCGAAATCTCCGTGGAAGCTGATATGGTGTACATCGCATCTTATCAACATGGAGGTCTGTGGCGAGAACCCGCGAACCACATCGTTGGCAGCGGGTGGGACCGAACGCCTATCCCTGCGGCGATCATTAGGGACACGCACGTGCCATGGACAGTCACGACGCGTCCGCCGAGTGAAAAACAATGCGATGGTGATACTTGAGACTTTGGTAAACATTGCGCTTCACGTTCATCTTCTCCATAGTTCTATTGCACGACCTACTATGCGCTCCCCGATGCAGTCAATTGCTCTTCAATGACGACGCGTCGACCCCTCCAGCCACTCGCCCCGCTCTCTGACCGTACGTCAAGTCATACTCCGGAGCACTCCACACCCATTTCCAATTTGCTTCACTCTGATTCATTTTGGATGTTTTCTCCGGAAACTGGGCATGACGCAACGTAGTCGCGTGCACCGCTAACACGACTGCCACTTGTAGACACCAATACGCGCCACACCCACATCACGACGGCCCAAAGCGATGCTGCCATGGAGGAACAAGAAGATATACAGGACCTGAGCTCCCAGGACGCAGATGACGACTTTGAACGACGCATGATACAAAATGCGCGCGACGAACGGCGATTGAAGGAGGCGCTGCACAGCAGCAGCAGAGTGCACGCCTTCAGAAAAGCGCGGACACAACCACGCGTCGGCCTGACCTTGGACAACCTCGAGCGGAACAATGCGCGCAACCATGCCGTCACCGAAACGAATGCGCACGTGAAGTTCCAAAGTCCTCCCAGCAGCAGCGGCTCGGCGCGCTCCGATCCTGCCATCCACGCGCCGGCCGGATGGGGCAGGAAGAGCAGGTCGAACCGCAACTGGATGAGAACAATCACATACGATGAGCAAGCACAGACGCCCCCACCCGCAGACGAAACGGTGAATGGCCTCTACGATGACCACATGGACGACGACCGCGCACGACCGTCCATCGAGGACAGTCCGCTGTCGCATAAGAGCACGCCGCGCCATGATCGCTCTGCCGAATGGGACCTGACTTTTGAGCTGAACGAAGCTTCTATTATTGCTTCTACGCCGTACATACCACGAAATACTATGCTAGACGACATACGACAGAGAGAGGCGGAGAGTTTGAAGGTGGAAACTGTACCAGAGAGCCCGTCAGAAAGCACGCGCCGCCCGCAATTACCACCACCTTCGAAGGATGCAGATATTGCGGAACCTCCAGCGCAGGGATCATCATCACCTGGGAAGCGCCTACGGACGAGAACGAATTCGTGGCAGGCGATTGGAAAGTCGCAGCCAGTCACTGGCACTGGCAAGGAAACTTCGCCTGTAGCCGTGTACAAGACGAGCACCGAGACTGTGAGCGTGTGGGAACAAGAGGCGGTTTCGGGGACAAGATCACGGCCGTCAAGACCGTTGCGACACCGCAGAGAGGACTCACAGGACCTGCTTCGACGGCTAGCGAGGGCGTCGAATACTCCAAGCCCAGGACGGTCAGAAGCGTCACGCCCTCAAACTGCGCCAGCAAGCCAGTTGAGCAGCGCATCACAGCCCATAGCGACCGAATCACGGCCGGCTTCGGCTCATATCGAGCAGCATACATACAAACAGGAGCCGGAACCAGAAACGCCCACTGAGCCTGTATCAGCTGCGCATCAGCAGGAGCAAGAGGAGGAAGCAAAGGATACGTCGAAAGAGCCTATGGCGCCTTCAGTACCAGTGCCAGGGAGGAAAGTAGAGGACGTTGATGTCACACCAATGCCAACAGAGCGACGGCCACTCGAGGCCAAAACACCAGTAGTGACGGGCGCTTGGGTGGACACTCCAGGGCCTCGGACCATACGGAAGCACATCAGCATCGCTCGATCGCCGTCACAGTCACCGAAGAAGAGCTCGCCACAGAAGAACAGAAGTCCTCAGAAGTCCAAGGCATCTGCAGTAGAAGAAGTTGTCGAGGCTCCAGTCCCCGAAGCAGTCCGGCCTCAGCTTCCTAGATCCGCATTACAAGCCCTCGTCCAGGAAGCCAAGGCGCACGGCAGGCGAGAATCAGCGGACTTTGGCGACTCAACAATCAATTCACTCGAGGACCTGATTTCATCACCGCCCGAGGGCGAACTCGACGAAGACACTCTCCTCGGCCTCCAACTCCCCACGATCACACCCCGCAACGACGCCGAACGACAACGCCAGCAAGAACTACTGCACCTCCACCGCATGAACGACCGTCTGCGCGCTGCCCGAACCAGCATCAGAGACGCCAGCCGGGGCATGAAGCGCGTGGAAGACCGCGTCGAGCACAGCGAAGAACTCACTGACGGCGAGAAATCCATCCTCTCCTGCCCGTGCGCTGCATCCGGCCACCACTCCTCCCTCCTCCAAAAATTAAAACAACTTTTTTGGAACCCAGCACTCAAGAGCAAACGAGCGGGTACTAGTTGGCGCACACTCGGCGGCCTCACGACACTAAGCATCCTACTCCTGATATTATTCACATGGTGGGTCAGCGAGGAAATCGCATGCGAAATGTACTGTCAGCACCCGTATGCAAACTTCTCGCCGTATCGCTTCTCGGTGAATGAAAACGCCCCGCGCTTTCCGTTCGTGATCCCGACGCTCGTGTCTCGGAACTTATTTTGGTGGATGCCAAGTCCGGTGTGGAGTGGATATGAGGCTGCTGCGGCATTGCAACAAGGCGCGAGGAGTACGGCGGCGGCGTGGGAGGCGCGCAGCCATGTCGCTGAGGAAGTTGTGTGGGATCAGAGTATGTTGAGGGATGAAGTTATTCGATAGCCTACCATGGTTTTGTTTTTGGGTCAGCGAGGTGTTTTGGTGTATCATTACTATGGACCCAGGGCAGGTGTTTGGATATTCAACGAGAGAAATCTGCATGGTTGATACGAATCAATATTTCACATATTTCAAACATCCAAGATCGACTTGCCTTTACTTCTTTCTGGTGGGGACAGGGTTACCTTGTGAGCTGACGACTTCGACTCAACTTGCGGGCCTTTTTTTCACATGTGCGTTCGAACTCTTGGTAGACCCCCTCCATCTCATCTCACACGCGCAAATCGCACGCGACACGCGACGCGCGACCCTGGTAAATTGCACACCCCATGGCGTTGAAGATCTAGCGATTCGATAGCTCGCACGTCTAGCAAAAGACCTGGCGTCCGCAAGGTCGATAGACGGCGCAACTTTGACAGATCTGAGCCCTGTGTGTAATTTGCCAACGAACCTTGGCCCTTCCACTCCGGAAGCTGAGGGAAGCAGCCCCCATGATGCTATTGGACCTCGATGTCCATGTAACATGCTGAGTGCACGCCTTCTCGCTAGGCGCTGCCCAGATGTAAGCGCAGACCCGCTGTTCATTGGTCCCGCCCCTCCATCCTCGAACGTGAGACACCCAACTGAAACCCCCCCTGATTGGTTTCAAACTCCGCAGACCTTCACGTCGCAGTGAGGTTAATTTGGGCGTTCAGGCGCGCAGCGTTTGATGGCCGACATGGGGGGAGATGAGACATGCAACACGGCGGGAAGCGTGACGGGTATTTGGGGGCTCGAGGCCCCCCGGTGTTGGACGTTAGTAAAAAGTTGGTTGTTACACTGCCTCGATTTTTCCAACTTGCGCCATCGCACGGCAGAGATACTGCTGCGGACTGATAAGAGGAAGAGAAAGCTGTGGTGGGAAGAAAAAGAGTTCCTTGCTTGAGGGCAGCACGACTATATTATCATCCATTATTTCTACTTGTATTCATACATCTACCCTTCTCTCTATACCGAAATATCCTCATCACACATCAGCCATCATGTACGGCTCCTTCCTCCTGTTCCTGCTCGACCCCACCTTCTGGTCACGCCTGGGCTTCCTAATCTCCTACATCGCGACCTCGCTCATCGCCGTCGAAGTCTTCCGCCTGATCTGCACCGACGCCAACAAGCGGGACGTCGAGAAGTTTCTCGAGAGCTACAGCAAGCAGCGCGCCAGGACAGTGTCGCCGCCGCGAAGGAAGAATGTGCAGTTGGAGCGGGAGATTAGTGTGAATATCGATGAGTTGGAGAGTGTGGTGATGGAGGCGCCGAAGATGGACAGGCCTGTGGAGAGGAGTGTGCGTGCTGCTGTCTCGCCCGACTCCGATAAGATCGAAAGAAGGAAGAGAGCGACGTCCTCGGCTAGTCGGGCTCATGCGGAGAGGACGGCGTCGCCTACGCCTGTTCGCAAACTCAGGAAGCGCAGTGATACCCTTACCTCTACGGGTAGCTCTGAGTCGAAGCGCGTGTCGAGGAGGCATCGCGAGGCGTCTCCGGCGTCCGAGGTGGCGGAGTCGAGGCATGGAAGCCCACGCCCAAGGAGTAGGGAGGATAGGGAGAAGAGGTCGTCGGGCTTGGGATTGGGGAAGTTGATCAGAGGGAAGGTGTGAGGAGGGGCAGAGGATGAGCTACGATATTACGACTTCATGGCTGTTGGACAGCTACAGCGCTACTACGACGAGGAACCTGGCAGGACCGGTACCATACAAACGCCGATTCGGGTCGGTGGGTGTGCTGTGTCGCCAGGGCAAGGCGTGTTGGGAAAGCACAAAGACCTCAAGTCGAACGCAACATGAGAAGTATGAAGTAAAGGATGTCGAGATCTATTACTCGCTTCGAGAAGTGTACATGGGTATCAATGCAATGCAAAGCCAATATCCACAAACCATATCTACATTCCGGGCATGTTCCCTCCTCCAATAAAAAGTGCTGAATGCTTCCCAATCCACGCCCTCCGCTTCAAACATCTTCTTCGTCTTCTCCGCAGTCTCTGCCTGCTTCTCCTGAGTGAAGCCTCCTGGCGCGTTACTCTCGAACTGCACCAGCTCGACCCACTTGAAGAACAAACTCTCCTTGCCCATGGCCGTGAGCTTGTCCTTGAACGCCATGAGTTTGTTCCTCGCCTCCGTCTCCGACTCTTCGCCCTCTGCTTCCGAGCAATCCCACATCGCCCACTGCCCATTCTCCACCTCCGCCTTCAAATCGCCCACATACACAAACACGGCTTTTCGCAGCTTATCCATCGTAACCGTCTTCCGATCTACCAGTTGCGTCGCCGCAATCATGCCATAGAAATCCAAATCAAAGTCCGCATCCATGAGCAAATACCCCGTCTTCTCCCTGAGCCTCGCCTCATCCAGCGCGGGCAGTATCCTCGTCTTGAAAAACGGACTATCCTCCCCCGCCTTCCCCGAACTCCCCTCCTCCAAGCCCAACAGATCCTGGCCTCCCCAACCGCGACTCTGCCTAATCACCACCTCCTGATCGCGAAACCCGACCTTCCACCGCCACCACACGGGATTACCCGGGAGTTCGAGGAAGAAGGACCACGGCCAGGGTCCGACAATTCTGAACAGCAGGAAATCCAGCATGAAGCTTAACATGCGCTTAAACACCTTCCACGCCATACTGCCCCACGTTTCTTGCGTCCAGTATATTGTTGTTTCATTGAGGTTGCCCATGACGGAGAGGATGATGCGCGCGTAGTAAGGTAGGATGTAGTATGCGCGCAGGGCAAGGATCAAGGTTATGGCTAGGTTGAGGATGACGGGTACGCTGAAGATGCGCTTTTTGAACCATGCCGGGTGCGTGTCGATGTGCGTTATGTAGACGGTGTCGCGGCTGAAGGTGGAGAGGAGGGAGGAGAGCTCGGCGGATGCGGGGGTGAAGGGCGAGGGAATGGTGGATTTGGAGGGTTTAGAGGCCTTGACAACGGCGCGTTGTTTGGGTTTTGGCGGCATTGTGAGGGCGTAGGCACTGTGAAGGCGGCGTGGGTTGGGGAGGCTACTTTGATATACAGGTCGTGTCCATGCAAGTGCGGCGGTTCCTTCGTCAATCGGTGAATAAGACGCCAGTTGTAGCCTTTGGGTAGTTGTGGAGTATGCTCAGATGTACTGATTGTTGTGGTGGTGAAGGGTGAATCTGTCATGGTGGAGTGGAATTGAAGCTCAAGCTTCGGTGCCGAAGTTTCTCCGACACAGACATGGGGAAGTCTCAAATGCCATGCAAGTCCAACAGCTTGCGAACACACGTGACATACCCCTTCTTCTTCGCTACCACTGGACACAATGCATCGCGTTACGCTATTTCAGGTACATGCGCGGAGCTTTTTCTTTGCGCGCCACCGATACTAACGTCATCCGCTGCCGGCTTCCTTCGTTCAAGCCGGTGCCACCTTAACCTCCAGTCATCATGCAGCAACAACGCCATGCAGATCTCCCGGCATCTGTGAGGAGACCCGAACACAACCACCCTTGCTGGACAACTGCATCTTGACGTGTTGTGGAAGAGTGGGAGCATGAGCCGCCGCCCTCACCCATTGACTACAGAGGTCCAGCAATATGCAAAGAAGCGCAAAGCCAAGTAAAAAGGTGTTGAAGAGGATCTAGAGGCGCCCAGCTGAGTGATGGTAAGTTCTGTCGACCAGCCGCAGCCCGCTTGCGCGGTACACAAGTAGCATATCACAACAAACCGTCGGCACCCCAAGAAAGCGCGGGCTGATGTTGTAAACTCTAAGTATACTGTACGGGCTGTGGTTCGTCCGGCTCAGTCCCACAAGCGGCGCGGTCTTAGATCAGGAACTCAATAGGCTTCGCCTGTGACTTACACTGCACAATCGTCATTCATTTGCTCGCTATCTGGAATACATGCGCCCTGGGCTACGTATGACTCGTCTAGGTTCACAATGTCGCTTCTCGAACGCCCGATATACTCTGGTCCACCTGCACGTCTAGTCAGAACCGTCTTGCTTGCTTCTCGCGACTTCGACCTGCTTGCACTCGGTGGAACCATCGATCATGTCTGGCCCTCAGGGATCGGCTGACTCGCCAGTAAGTGTCGTGAATGTACACCTAGCACAGGCTCAATACTAAAAAATCGACAGGGAGTGAGAATGTTATCCCAAGGTCCTCCGTATGCTCCTCGCAATCAAGGCCTCGGTGGTAATCCAGAAGTCATACCCGACGTTCCTATTACTGCGATCTTCCTGGTGCTCTATCTTGTCTTCGGTATTATTCACATCAAGATCTTCAAGGCGAACAAGGGCCGCGGGCACAAGTTCATCTTCAATGGCGCCATTCTCGGTATGTCCCACATCCTGCTATACCTAAACAGCCTCCCGTCTGACTTCTCAAAGGATTGTGCAAGATCCGTATTATTACAATGTCCTTGCGCATAGCATGGGCATGCCACCCACAAAACATAGGTCTCGGGATCGCTGCGAATGTCTTCGTATACGTAGGAACCATCATCTTGTTTATGATAGACTGGTTCTTCGTGCAGCGAATAGTACGCGCGCAACACCAACGCCTAGGCTGGTCGACTCCATACCGCATCTTCCATCGCGGTGCACTTGCTGTCTTGGTCATCACTTTGATCATGATTATCTTGGTCAACATCTGGCAGTTCTTCACTGCTAGTAGCACGAAGTTGCATGTGTTCCGCGCTCTACAGCTTACTGGTCAAACCTACTTCACCGTCTTCTGCTTCGCACCGGCGATTCTCGTACTGATCTCTGGACTGATACCACGTACGGAGATTGAGAAGTTTGGTGCCGGACGCCTCAGAGTCAACATCGCAATCCTACTGATCGCGGTGGCTGTTTTGACAACCGGACAGCTGTTTCGCTGTGTGATCGCCTGGATACCTCAGACACCCGTCTTCAACTCCGCGGGCCAGCCTATCTCCCAGCCATGGTATCTACACAAGGCATGCTTCTACATATTCAACTTCGTCACCGAGATCATCGTCATTGTCATGTTTGCGCTTGTCCGCGTCGACCTTCGCTTCCACGTACCAAACGGATCAAGAGTTTCTGGAGACTACTCGGGCCGTAATAGCCGAGTAAACCTCACAAGCGCTTCTAACGTCCATAGCCATCTCAGCATCAGCCATTCGATCAATAAGAAGGGCCTTCCTTGCGAAGCGCCCACCGTACCCATGTCGCAGCCCAACGGATCGACCGAAACACTGCATCGATATGAGACATCGGTCTTCGAGGACACGCATACGCTGGCCGACTCGCTACAATACACTGGTTCCACATTGGAGGTGGATCGCAAGACTGGCAACTGGAAAGTCAAGAGGCTTTCAGGCACGTCCGTAAGCAGTCGCAGTAGCAACTACTCTTTGGCAGATACAGTCAGTCCCACGAAGTCGTCGTTCAACGACCGGAGCATCAAATTCGCAGATGACGTCCCACCAGTCCCACCAGTCCCAGAGATACCAAGCGAATGGCCGCTGCCAAGCCATCGGCCATCGCATAGCTCAATATCGCACTCCAGTTCACTGAGTAGGATAGGCACCCCCAAAAAGACATTCGAGATTGCAAATCATGGCTTCAATGGCGTAGACGTAGGCAATACAATCGAAGATGCATTGGCTGCACTAGAAACAAACAGCGAGCAGTATGGCAAACTTCCGAGACGGGCGAAGACGGATGCTACGAGGACTGCGAACATCTCCGCAATATCCAGGCCAGGTAGCACTCATGCGGTGCAACGCCGATCCGACTCCCTGAATGCCAGCAAGTCTAAGCCGACCAAGAATCCCCTCGCACCACAACAGCGCTCAACATTCCCACCCAAGTCCGCTCTCAAAACGTTCAAGAATCATGCTAGCACGCACAGCGTCTCCTCCACCACGCCCACCATCGACGAAGCGCCAGAAGTAACTCTCCAACCTCTTCCCACTTCACAGATTCCACGCCGCCGCACTTCAAGTATCGAATTCATCACGCTGTCCCGCAAACCCAGCACCGACGGCCGCAAGATCATCGACATGAGTCTGCAGGGTGACAAAGCCAGCGATATTTCAAGGGCCCCTTCGTCAAAGGATATGATGGCATCATCGACAGAGGGATCGGAAATTGCTCGAGTGTCGTCGTCGGTGGATAGTGAGGGCACGACGAGCTGGGATGCGAAAGATCATATGATGATGGAAGAGAGTCATCAGAGGTTTAGCTTTGAGCCGCAGAGGCTGTATTAGGTAATGGGGGGGGGGGGGGGGGGGGGGGGATGTAACGTATATAATGTTTTAACGAATGTGTGATGACAGGTCGTGCCGTGTAATAGGTTTGGTAAAATTCATAGTGACAAGCAAAGTAACACTATTTATCAAATCTTGGGTCTAATGACAGCACAACAAGCCAAGATGGAAAAAATATAAGGGACATGTATCTCGCGCATCAAGGAGCCAGATTGACAGGGTCATGCGCCATAGACATTCGTCCCTTCAACAACACATTGAAATCTGCAAGGACAAAATCCCCGCGATAACTCCATGGACGTTCAGTGTTACTCACCTCCACGTCGTATCTCCGGAAGAGCTACAAGGTGGTCAGTATGTCGTCACTTTCAATGCTGGTGTAGCACTCACCTCAAAGATAACCTTGTTCAACTCCATCCTTGCTAGATTTTCACCTAAACATTTTGACGATCCATACCCAAAAGTGAGATCGAGATTCCGTTGCATGCGAGCGAGCAGAACCTTGTCTTCATCAAGCCACCTTTCTGGGCGGAAAGTGTCCAGCTTGTTTCCATAAATGGGGTCCAAGTGGCTGGCTAGCCCGTTCAGAGCTATGAATGTGCCGCCTGGGACATAGTGGCCGTGTATATTGTCACCCTCGGGAGGCACTACTCGCTCACGCAGTTGGGTGATTGCTGGATACATACGGAGACCTTCGGAGATGCAGGCTTGAAGGTATGGCATGGTCTTTATGATGGCATCTACGGCGCATTCGGTGGTTGAGATGCCTTGCTCTTCTACCATTATGTCGATCTCGTGCTGGAGCTGATGGCATATATTGGGGTTGCTTATGACACTATGGATGATGCCTTGCATTGTGTATGAAGTCGCGCCAACGGCACTGAATCTGTCTGGAAGTTAATGCTGATCAGGCATGTATTGCTTTGGTGAACTCACAGCACTACTAGTATCTCACTGCTAGCCTCTTCGGGATTGAGTCCTCGGGATAAGAACGAGTCTAGCATGTCCGCCATCGGTAACCTTTTATCATTGGTAGCAGTATTTCGCAACTTCTGTTGCACCTTTTCTTGTATGATCTGTGACTTGTCAGCTAAGAGGCATGATATAGGGTTGGAAATTCCTTACGCGCATAACTTGTCCTATACCCGTCGGTGATTTTGTGGTAGGAAATAATCTGCCCCGTAAGTATGGCAGGCTGCCAAGCCAGAACAAAGCCGTCTTGAGCTCGAGCAGAGACGCGATGTACTGCTGTGCTATCATCCCAGTTGACAATGCCTCAAGAAGGCCATAATTATCGCTATCAGACTTGACATTGTTGAATGACTGCCCAAGACATAGATGTGTAATGATGTCGAGACTGAGGAAGGGTGCTACCTTTGACAGGTTGATCTCGATATTCCCTTCCCCCTTCATGTCGCTTTTTATGAAGAGTGTACGCATCCAATCGCCGATGTGCATGTCAACTACTGATTCTGCACCAGCAACATCTTTCCCCGATAATCCTGGTGCTAGTATTTGGCGCTTGGCTTGGTGCTTCTTCGATTCGCGTTCTGATACAACACTGGTCGTGTGTGGATTAGTCCTGAGACTGTCAAACCACGGGCCTCGAAGGTATGGTGAGTTCACACCGAGAACTCTTCGAATTGTGCTGGGGTCACTAATCACAAGCGTCTTGGGCCCGATCCTCACTACAGGGCCTGGGTCGATGTTAGCTGAGTTCGTGATTGAGTTTTTAACTATGCTTCCCATGTAGCCGGTTTAGATCGACGAGTATCTGAGCACTTCGCCCAGAGTATAAAGCCTTGATCCACCATAGCCTTGTCCAGGCTGCCACCGAAGGTCCAGGGATTTGAGCAAGAGGAAAATTCCATCTCCACAGCAGGGGCATCAATAAACATAGCTTGAAACCGACTATAGCTGCATACAACGGCCAAGCAAAAGTGATCAGTGCAAGCATATTGATATGCTGAAGTCTGGCCTTGTGTGTAAATCCAAGGACTTGTGTAGTGAGTCGTTGAAAGTCCATGTTTGCTCATCGCCTCAGATATAGGTGCATTTATGGTGAGTATCCTGCGCCTCAGAGGCGCTGTATCTCTACAGGCCAGGGTGTGCACACGTGATATAGTAGGGCGCTTTTACGGGTAGTTCTTACAAGACAAGACGCTTCCAAGTTCCAATGCAAGCCTCTGACATGATCATCTCCTCTGCAGCTGCTCGGACACCGTAGTTAGACGAGACGACGACGGTGGGCATTCCAGTCGATGATTTGATGGCTATGCGCGGGCTATACACCTGGCACTTTGTGTCTAACAAGAAGATTCGCTACCGATGAACTGGTCATGGCCCGTGCTTGTTTCGCGTCCTCGGGAGTAATTCTTCAATCTCTTCGTGACTGCCTGAAGCATGCCGGTGCGCGTCATTACATGATAAAGTTCCGGATAAAATTAATGATCAACAAAATCGTCGTGCCGCTCCGCTCCCGAACCCAGTTTCAAAGCGGCGCAGTTGATAAGGTAGATTGCCCCGAAGCATCAAGCGGTGATATGGATCCGCGCCTTCCAATGGGATTCTAGCGTTCTGCGGACACAGCAGGGAAGAGGCTCCCGCAGTGCATGAAATAGAGCGGTCATATGCATCGTTGCAAGCGCCTGGGTAAGGAATGGGGAAGTAGATGCGCGCAAGAATAGCCTAGCCATCATGCTAGTCGCTGTAGGGTTTTAGTGAAATTTAGAAGCTTATACCGAGACCGGGGCTGGGAAAACTTAATGGTAATATACTGTCAGCTCAGGAGGGGCCATCGTTGCGTAAGGATAGCAATGCTCAAGACACCTTCGCTAATGAGGTGTGAGCATAGCCAGGTGCCCAGATGGTTGGAATTGTGGAAGCAGACTTCGATCCTTCAGCGTACTCTGACATTGGACGAGAGTTATATCGAATGCATGTCTATGCATTAAAGTCATTTGCAAGGTTGTGAATTACACGGCGTCGGGCACCAAAATATGCATGCATGAAAGGAGCCGACGGCGCAGCTCGAGTCACATTGAGTAATTCGCATACCAAGACCGACACAGCAAGGACCGAACTACCAATTGAAACAGCAATTGGGGCAGGGTTGCTGTGACTATGGAGCGCCAAAGTAGTCACCTGTTCTCAGCAGTATGGTAGTCAAGGTAGGTACGCGCTGATTTATCCATAAGCAAAACTCCTGGCAACGCCCTCAAACCGCGTTACGACATCCCAATAACTCCTTCATCTTTATCACATTGATTTACACAAACCGATCTGCTCACTAAGAGCGTTACTAAGCACTATGTCGACAATCGATATTCCTAAGGAAATGTGGGCGTTACTGGACGATCAACCCTTGGTTCAAGCCCCAACAGTGAGTGCTCTAGATGTAGAAGATGTGTAAGCGACTGATTTAAAGGGCATCACTCCGAACTTTGAGTATCCCACCTGGCATGGACGTAGCGTGGTGATTGCAGCCTCGGTTTGTATACCTCTCATGTTGATAGCCGCTTCGATTCGGGTTTATACGAAGTGTTTCATCACACGAAAATGGAATCGGGACGATAGTAAGCAAGATATCATTTTTCTGTACGTCGCACTGACGCGTCAAAGACATCTTCTTGGCGAGCTTAGTAGGTCTACTCTACTCGTCGTCACTTTCAACACACTCATGATATTAGGCTGCTGCTCTGTTGTTCATCGCCCTCGTTATGGCTAGTATGTATAATAGCACCTCTGTACCCACGCTTCTTCTGATCTCGACAGTGACCTGTGGTGGGGCATATGGCTATCATGCATGGGATCTCAAAATTGGCCGACTTACCAAGGTGGTCTTAGTGGTAAAAGAATCATCAATCTCAGTCTCAATTGCGCTAACATATCTTTAGCGATCGCTACTCCTGACAATTCTTGTGGGGCCTTTGGTATGGATCATTAAGCTTTCCATCTTCAGTCTAATTTACCACGCTTTCCGACCGCTGCCATACGTCCGTAGACTTGTATATGTCGGAGTACTAGTAACGGGACTATATTCAGTCGGCACAGGTATCACGAATGGCATTCTCTGTGGGCCTCACGGCGGACAGGATCGAGCTGCATACCTCGCCGGAATGGCTGGACCGAAATGCGGCAATCCGGACGGTGTCGTTCAAATCTTGAGTGTCACAACAGGGTCAATCAACCTCTTCACCGATATATATCTACTTGTCCTTCCATTACCTGCTGTGTATGATCTCAGTCTTCCGAGAGCGCGAAAGGCTGGAGTTATGGCCATATTTTTGACGGGATCGGTGTATGTATATCGAATTCTCGCAACTTTCTGTGCTTAACTATTAACATAGAGGCTGTGTAATGAGCGCTATCGCTCTATACTATCGTAAACGCACTTATGGCGGCGGTCGCGTAACTCTGTGGAACACTGACATCACGTACGCAAACAACCCAATTATGACCGTTACGTGAGTTCGTAGCAAACAAGAAAGCTCTTATAGTCCATACTGATCTGTCATTAGGATTATCGAGTCTGCAGTTGGCATTATGATTCCGTGCATGGCATCATGCGCTAAGGTTTTCAAGCTTTATTCAAGTTCACTAAGCTCCTTCATGCCTTCAAGGTTTACGGGTTTCCGACGAACGCCATCCAACGATGGTATATTCAGAGCTTCACAGGAGCTGCAGCGTCTGCCGGGAATCTCAGAGCAACCACATACGGATACCATCGATAGGATGTTAATGCAATTCAAGCATGACGAGCACAATAACGATAGCTTCTCCCAGGATAGCCAAAGTAGCAAGACAAGCCGGATCTCCACCTGAGTAGTTACGATCTACTATCTTCACGCGCAGTAGTTGAGAGATATCAATAGGTGGAAGTAGTCGTCCCAGTTCGAGAGCCGATTCGCAATAGGTGGATAGAAAGTTGACTTCATTTTCAATTGACTAGTATCTGCTCTTGTTCAATTCATAAACTTATGCTGCTCCGCTGAACTCAACCCACATAACACCTTCAATGATCAAGTCCGATAAACACCAGAATGGTCCAGGACGAAGTGCTGTATGATCGCTCTGCATCCCGGCAGTTACGGATGAACGCGCAAGAGAGGTTACCGGCTTAGGCCTTGTGTGCGACGATGTGCAGCGTGCAGCTTACGCAGGCAGGGGCAGGGACGTGATGATCCATCCAATGATGTCGAACAGCGATCCATGCCCGACAAACCGGTAGTCTCGCACTCTAATGCTCCGCCACTTACGCTAGCAAGCGTACGTGGTACATACGCCGTACAACTGCATATGGGTGCGTGCAGAGAGGTGACAGAGTTCAAAGCGCAGGACGTACAGCACATCTCTTTTTTACATGACTTCGCAGGTCCGAAACTCTACCACAAGCTTCCCATGATACTGCCCTCATTTTTGGTACCACTCTCTTCAAGAAATCCTGCCTCTCATGTCAGGAGCACTCGCAGCGGCTGCTACTGGCGCCATAACGCTACTGGGCCTTCTACACCTGCTACTGCACTGGATCCACGATGCGAAGGAGCCACCAGTCGCACCCACACCAATTCCTTTCTTGGGACATGTCTTCGGTCTGATGATGAAGAAGACCAAATACTACGTTGAGCTGAGGTTAGTGTTGTAGGCCAGCCGCGATAAAAGCTGTTGACCTTGCAGGAACAAGTACAACATGCCCATCTACACACTCCATCTTCCAGGGTCGAGGCTGTACGTCATCAACTCCATGTTGCTCATTCCGCCCGTACAAAAACAGTTCAAAACCCTTGCTTTCCCGCCAATAGAAGCCATGGCCGCTAAGAATATTTGCGGCTCCAGTAAGATAGCTAACGATATCCTCGATACAAACGTCAATGGTGATGACGGACCACGAAGCTACTCTGTCTCACATTACCCTGCCGTCCGAGGCCCATTGATGCCAGGCCAAGGACTTGATGCGATGAATCGTGTCATGGCCCAGAAAGTTGCGGATGCCATCGACAGAATGAAGTGCGAACAGACTGTCAAGCTCTTCGAGTTCATTAGCCATGAGATCACCATAGCGACTACGGATTCTGTATACGGCCCTAAAAATCCATTCAAAGATCCTAAAGTAGAAAAGAGCTTCTGGTATGTATTCATCACCTGCAAATGCCTAGTGTACTAAATTGATGCAATGTGCAGGAATTTCCAACCAGGTATCATGTTCCTTCTTCTTAAACTCTTTCCCTCCGTGCTCGCGAAGGAAAGTGTCTCGGCCAGGAGGACGATGGCAAATGCATTCCTCGATTACTTCCAGAAACAAGGCCACCTTGAGGGATCAGCTCTCATCAAAGCGCGCGTTGAACATAGTCAAGAGTACAGCATACCTTTAGAAGACATTGCGAGGTATGAATGTGGGGGCGCACTGGGCATTCTCACCAACACTTCACCCACCACATTTTGGATGATCTACCACATCTATTCCAACAAGACCATCCTGGAAGAATGTCGACAAGAGCTTACCAAGGTTACTTCCGACACTTTGTTAGAAGAAGACGGCGAGACAAAGACACTCCGCACCCTCGACATGACAAGCGTCAAGAGCGCATGCCCTATTCTGCTATCGACATTACAGGAAGTACTGCGGACGCACAGTATCGGCATTTCCGCGAGGCTTGTAATGGAAGACTACATACTTGAGGGCAAGTATCTCCTAAAGAAAGGTGGCACAGTCATGATTCCCGGACCAGTCCAGCACACAAGTGCAGAAGCCTTTGGCTCGACTGTGCACTCGTTCGATCACCGGCGCTTCTTGCCAACAGAGCGCAAACACAATCCCATCGCTTTTCGAGGCTTTGGCGGCGGTACAACGCTGTGTCCTGGCCGTCACTTTGCGACCACCGAGGTACTGGCTTTCACTGCGCTCATGATCCTTCGCTGTGACGTTTCGCCGGCGTCGGGCGAATGGGTTTATCCTACTACATATAAGGCTGCAATGTGGGAGACAACGCCCATGCCGGATTTCGATCTAGAGGTTAAAGTTGCGCCACGAGCTGGCATCGACAATGAAGTCAAATGGCGAGTCTTGCTCAGCGATTCGGACAAGGGCTTAAATGTTTCCGTCGAGGACGAGTAGCCAGTTTCATCGTCGCTAAAGTGTCTGATTGACAGCAAAAGTTTTCTCGCGACTCGATTATCAAGGCAAAATGTGGCAGTTCTCCTATGTGTTGATAGAAGTTACCCGTACAAATCACGAATAAAGTCCCTCACTACTCGGCAAATAATATGGAGAGTGACCGAAGATGAGGCGAATACTAAGCAATGTATCAAAATAGCGCAATGAAAAATGGGCGACGTGAGAATCAAGTGCGTTGGGCCTGCCTGAGATGACAAATTGGGAACAATCGACGATGCACCATCAGGAGTAACCACAGCACCCTATCATTGATCCGCGCCCCGGGAATGCATCTTTCCCACGACGTCTTGCAGAAAGGTGCCTCCTTCTTGCAGCATGCTCACCCGCGGCACAGAAACTCGGGTAATGGCAATATGCTGATCTTCCCCAGGGAAATAGCAGATATATTGCGCGAATAAGAACCTTGCAAGCTGCGCCGCAATTACCAACATTCGACTACAGTTTCGGGCAGTAAGAAAGGAACCCTCAGTTGCCGGTAGCAATACACAGAGATAATGGCTAAGAATCAATGTATGTGAGCAAGGGTGACGATCGCAGATGGCTATCATTGCCTAGGTAAACACACTAAGTTTCATCGACCATGTAACCATGCATAGCCGTCGATGTCCGCTCTGATCACGGGGAGCGCGAGTTTAGTATGAGGGACCTAAGCCCGGCAGAGGCTGTCGTTTATGTTGTTGATACAGTGTAGACATCTTTTTGAACTGGAAGCCATAAAGCACTTGAAGGACGTGTTGTTGCATGAGGATTGACTCATAGATAGAGAGCAGGCTTTGACCCGCGATCGGTGAGTTGTAAGACGCCAGAAGATTTTCAAAACGGCATCTCGAGACGCTCCAGCGCTGACGACGATGAGCCTTTGCCTAGGAAGCTGGGACATACATATTGAGATCGAGGATAGCCTCAAGAATCGCGAAAAGACTTTCCAGAGTTACAATGTTCATGAAATACTGATAATGATCGGGTCATGCAAGGTCATAGGTATCCGAGGCACCAGCGATCGAAGTGAGGGTACGCGGGATGGGGTCAATGATGTTCATTATGCAGGGGTTGGGGTATTAACCAGTTGATTGATCATTCTGCATATTCTCATCGTCATCTGTGCACGTACGTAGCAGCACTATGATCGCAGAAAAACAGAAGGAGAAAAAGAAATGCCACTAAAGTGGAGGAAGAGAAAAGGAAAGGAAAGGCCCGATCTATACTCATGACCCCTCTGTACCGGTACTCGCGCACTCTGGGAAAGCCCAGTGAGAGAGTTACGAAGCCCAATCAGACTCCGGGTAGTCGAAAATTTCAACCTACTTCTTGTTGAAGTCGCAGGTATAGTTGTAGTTCCCCTGGTAGATCTTCCCAATCTCTGGCGAAACCACCTCAGCCGTGCCCGTGGCCGATCCTGGAATAGGGAACCACTTCGAACGTCTGTTTTTAACAAGATAACGGACCTCCATGGGACAAAAGGCTCATAGCGCGCGGCGCACTTCTTGTCATCCATGCAGTCGCTCACTATTCTGGACTGATGTAAGACAAAGAGAAAGCGAAGATTTTGGGATAATCGTACCGCAAGATATGTCTGAAAATTATCAACACTCTTTTCTATAGGCGATAAGTGGAGCTGTCTAATTTCAGGATCTTTCCAGCGCTTCATTAAGTCGAAAAAGGCTATTGAGCCTGTCCAGACCTGTAGACGTGAGCGACAGCGACGGTGAGCTCGAGTGAGCAACGACATACCTCTGCTCGCTCATATATCTATCGAGAGAAGTGAAGAAACAACCTCTCGTCGGGTCCCACCATGGTGGCAGGACGAGCTCAAAAGACGAAGGCGGTGCGAGAAAAAGTGAGGATGACGAGAAAAGAAATTTGCGAGGCGCGAGAAGTTTCTATACGTGAGCCGCGGCGTTAGCGCATCTGCTCTTGCGCAAATGAGCTGTTTGTCACGTGGCGGGACTGAAGAGGAAAGAGCAGTCCTCCTTCACCTTGAGTTGTGGCCGGCACTTGCCGGAGCAGGAGCGGCTTCACCGGTCGGTACGCGCAAACGAAGCCAAATATTTGCTGCAGCAAGGTAGACTTGCATGTAGGCTTTCAGGAAGAGGAAGATACATTGATAGAGAGCAAACTTAGCAATGTGAACAAAGAGGAGCAAAGTTTGCTGGCAAACACATCGTGTTTGGGCGTATTTAGACATGTCTGAGACAATTATGCGAGCTTTTTGAACACCGGTTATAAGTATTGACCATTCATTGCCTCACACTATTCACTACTCACATCCACAAAGCAGCGCAATGCCCACACTGGACCGAAGCAGCCAGCTACGCACAACGGCTCTCAAGAGATCGGCTAGACAACGCCACATACCTGAACCGAAGAGGGCTCGCAAAGAAAATATTGTAGCTGTGCCTGAGGCCACAAAGATGAGCGAACAAAATCCCGGAACTATACTCGGACTGGAGAAGATTAATCACAGACCCACCACGTCAGTAATTACGCACGCCAGCACAACCCCACTGTGTTGCTGCTAATAGAATACAATAGAGCGCAAGATACGACCGATCGTCAGCTGATTCAATGCGAAAGCACGCAAAGCGAGAAATTGGACCAGTCCAATCGCGACAATGCCGTGCTTGCGAAACACAATGAAGACGCCTCCGAACGTATTGCACTATTGTGGAAGAAGATTTCCGAGCTCACTGCTTCTATCGCATCAGTGAAGAAGGAAAACACCATCCATTGGCAGGTTCGAGCCGAACTCACTGCTTCTCACTCCAAGCGGTTTAATGAACAGCACGAGTATGTAGCAGAGAACGCGAGACTTCGAGCAGATAAGGTGCGCGATATGGGAAATATTGAGATATTGGGAGCCAGCCTTCGGCAAGGTGAGGAACAGCGGACGCAACTGCGGGAACGCGTGACAGGACTGGAGAAGGACAGAGAGACGCAGCAGGAAAAAGAAAAAAATGTGAAGACTCAGATATCAGGCCTGGAAAAGAACGAAAAGACACTCACTCAGGAGATAAACGATATAGAGAGTCAGCTATTGGATCTTGTCAAGGAGAACACGACACTCATTGGGGACAAGAAAGGGATGGAGAATCGGATATCAGAACTTGACAAAGATATAATGGCGCTCCTTGAGGAGAAGAATGGGATGAAAGCGGCCTTCACAAAATGGATGTCGTAGGAAAATCTGCAGAGGCCAGATAATACTCGGCAGACGAAGACAGCCTGTTTATAATGTGATTCAAGGAAGATCGGACCGCTGTAGGATGTAGTAAAGCGCAAATTGTCGGGAAATAACTCCCTTTCTCAAGTATTATATCCCCAACCACCCTGCAAACCTCTCCCAGCATTCCCTCCATTTTGAATCGCCCGCGCGACCTGAAAGCCCTGTGTTAACACACCTACCGCACTATCAACCCCCGCATGCCCTGTACGAATAGTATTTGGCATCGGTGGGTCCTCCGGCCTCGCCATGACTCCTTGCATCATCTCCTCCGTCGCCTCACCTTGATACCTATCAAGCACCAGCCTACGCACACCAACCTTCCACTTCTCAAACCACTGCTCCTCACTGATAGTCGTGTACTTCTTCGTCCCATTGTCCCCGATGACAGAAAATGGCCACTCGGCTCTTACAACCGCATATCGCTTTGTCATGAAGAAGAGGTACGGCCACGTGAAGATCCAGAGGAACGTGAGGTAAAAGATCCAGCAGACCCATGTCTTCAGCCTCCACTCGTTGATCTTGTTGCTGGTGTAAATGTCGAGATAGCGGTCCTCGATGGGGAAAGTGACGCTGACGTTACCGCGGTAGTTTGCGGAGGATATCAGGCCTTCGATGCGGTTCTTGAGATGCTGCTGGTCCAAGCCAGTTACGGGGCGCTCTAGCCGGAAGATCCGCAACATCCTTGGTGACGCGCAGTATCGATGGCACCATTCCTTCAGTGTCGGCTTTGGAGTACCGACCTCGATGTCTTGCTTGGCGCCTGGCGCACGGCATTTCAGGATGGTGCCTCTGTGAGTTTTCTCTCCATTCTCGACTGTGGTGATGGCTACAGACGGGATATACGATGTACCATGGACAGGATTTATGTATCGTTGTATGTTAACCACGATGCGGAAGTCGGTAACGTGATGTGTTTCCTTCTTGTCGCCGCGCCTCACGGTCTCTTTGTGTGTGCCCATTATGTAGATGTAGGGCGTCGGCATATTGTTTCCGGCATGGCAAATTCTCTGTTCGAGGGCGTCTGGATCAGTGTCGAGCTTGGAATCCATGATTGTTTCCGTTTCGCAGACAACAGGCCTCCCGTTCTTGAATGCGGGGTTATCGTGGTTCGTTCGAGTGGATGGAGGTGGGACATGGCGGATGGGCGCTGAGATTGGGGCAGTGCTTGCTTCGCTGTCCGTGTATGAAGGCGGAAGCCCTGAGATTTCTGGCGCATCGTCGTAGCTGTAGTCGTCGGGTGTCGTATGTAGAGAGACGGCATCGGGGTCGTCCCGATACGCTGGTGGTGCGGCTTTGCCCATGGTGACGGGACTTTACATTCACAACTAAAAGATTATGACGCTGTACGACAGCAAAAGCTTGAGTGAGCAAATGAGAGACTGGCTAAAGAAGCTTGGTGAAGGAGAGACAGTACTGGGACCTCTTTGTAGGTACAAGGGGGCTGTGAGACGAGACGCGTCTGACTGCGCTATGTTTAGGCATCCACCCACCCATTGGTTTTAGGGCTGAAAGGCTTGCATCTGGAGTTCTGCAGAGTACGAAGGAAAGTGAACAGGTGCTGCGAACCGCAGACAGTCCATGCAATAGCCTGAAACTATACAGAGTATCGCTACCTTTCGAATTCGACGGCAGAGTCCTGTGTACAGCTTCAGGCTATAGAATGCCGCGCTGTTCGATTCCGTCGTAGTTGACAAGCTGCAGGGCTCGCGATACAAACAGTGACGCCAGTGTTCGCCTGCTCTTTAGAAGCATGTTGATCATCGCTGAGGTGCTGTAGGATTGATCCCCGGTTGACGGTGGGATGGATGGTGTCGCACCGTGGGGAAGGGGAAGAGCCCCAAGGCGCTAAGAAATAAGCTTAAACCGCGGCCAAATTTCTGAACGCTGGTTCGCGACGCGACAGCTTGAAGCCCGACTTACATTCGCGCCCAGGAACCACGCAAAGATATTTTGGGAGTCCGAAAGTCTCTACCTTGAATCTGGCAGCCTTCATACCCAATCTACGTGGTCTATGTGCCTCGCGACTCTATCGACCGTTTCCCCGCAAACTATGGGCTACCGGTAGCATCACCACGCGCGCCTTCCATACCTCACATATCATGGCTACCACAGATACCCCCATGGCCGATGCGCCCTCCGCTATCGATGCTACGCCACGCGCGGGTCAGACTATCACCCACGACGAGAAGGTGTATACGACCATCCAAGAAGGATTGGCGCATATCCTTGTACCACATGGCATACCTACTTCTCAAGATCCGAAGATGACCAAGGAGGAGACGCAACGGCAACAAGTCTTCTACAATCCCATACAACAGTTCAATCGTGACTTGAGCGTTCTTGCGATCAAGACTTTTGGACAGGACATAATACAGCGGAAGACTCTAAAGCATGAGCAGCTCAAGAAGAAAGGTGAGAGAAAGAGACAGAGAAAGCAAGAGAAGGCTGCAGCGGAAGAGGCTCCCAATAGCACTTGTGTGTCAGATCAGGTTCCTGTGGCGGACAAGGTTCCTGCGACTAAAGAGGCTGTTGCGACCGACGAGGGCGCAGCGAAGAAGCGCAAGCTGGACGAGAGCGCTGCTGATGGTGATGCAGCTCCCGCCAAAAAGCAAAAGGTCGCCGAGAACGGAGATGCTGGAGAGGAAGAGGGCGCCAATGGAGTGTCAGACGGTGCATCCAAGTCAACCCAAACGCATGAGGTATGGAGACCGCCCTTCAGCATCCTTGACGCGCTTTCCGCGACGGGTCTACGAGCCCTGCGATACGCCAAAGAAATACCCTTTGCAACAAGTGTTACGGCGAACGACATGTCACAGAAGGCGGTCAACTCTATCAAGCTGAACGTCAAGCACAACAAGCTGGAAGACACCATCACAGCCAAGACTGGTAACGCAATTGCCTACATGTATAGCTACTGCGACAAGAACGGGTACGATGTCATTGACCTCGACCCTTATGGCACCGCGGCCCCTTTCCTCGATTCCGCGATTCAAGCTATCAACAGTGACGGTCTACTATGTGTCACTTGCACCGATTCAGCCATTTTTGCGTCCCACGGCTATCTCGAGAAGACCTATTCGCAATATGGTGGTCTGCCACTGAAAGGAGAACCCTGCCACGAGGGCGGTCTTCGGCTGTTGCTGCATGCTATAGCCTCCTCCGCGGGACGCTATGGCATGGCCATCGAGCCACTCCTGTCTTTGTCGATCGACTACTACATTCGCGTATTTGTGCGCATACGCAAGTCCCCGGAGGATGTCAAGATGCTTGCTGGCAAAACAATGGTTGTGTATCATTGTGACAGCGGTTGTGGCTCATGGACCACGCAGTTCCTCGCGCGGAATAAAATTACACACAACAAGAACGGCGACAAGTTTTACAAACACAGCTTTGCAGCTGGCCCTACTGCCGATGAACACTGCCAGCATTGCGGCTTCAAGACCCACTTGTCCGGCCCAATGTACGGCGGCCCGCTGCATAACGTGGGATTTATCGAACGTATGTTAGCGCAGCTAAACGACGTCAACCGCGCGACCTACCCGACAATGGATCGCATTGAAGGCATGCTGCACACAGCCTTGGAAGAAATCACATTCGGCGCCAAAGACAAAGCAAACGGCGGAAAGGACACAAAGGTCCTGGATCCACTGATTCCGAAAGCTGACCCGGCGGAAGTAGATCACCATCCTTTCTTCTTCATTCCTAGTTCCGTCGCAAGGGTATTACACTGTTCCGCCCCACCGCTCGCACCTCTGCGCGGAGCGCTTCGGCATGCTGGCTTCAGAGTGTCAATGAGCCACTGCAAGCCTGGCTCTATCAAGACTGATGCCCCGTGGAAGGATATATGGCATATTATGCTCGAGTGGGTTCGACAGCGGGCACCACTCAAGAATGCGCCAAAGAAGGCTAGTGCAGGACTTGTTATACTGGGCAAGACGAACGCAGAAGGTCTATTCACTGGTGGAGGCTCAAAGGAGCCAGTTGAAGTCTCTGCGAGATCTGTGGGCGACGCGCAAGACGCGCAACCCAACGAAAGCACCGCCAATGTGGAGGCTCCAGCAGCAGAGAAGATTGTCCCTTTCGCTTATCTGGGTTCTGACTTCCATGTCAATCTCGATGAGAAACTGGGCAAAGATCCTGACAGAGGCAAGTATGTCCGCTACCAACTGGCGCCACGCGAGAACTGGGGCCCAATGGCTCGCGCGAAGTAGCTTAACCGGGGGCCAAGAGTCAACATGCACGAGCTTCTGGCTGCCTTTTCTCTCTTCCAATGCGAACGCTGCATGTCGCACCGTTCTCCATCCATTTGACCGGCTGAATCCTTCTCCTGTAATGTTGGGATAACCATGCGCGATAATCAATGAAAATCACTCCGACAGCACGGGCCGTCCTTCACATCTCTAGCACGATCAATTCCCGTGACAGCGTGATGAGGCAACATTCAACGCAACGATTACATCACGGCTAAATCGTGCGCTAACGGTTTCCGCCGCCCGCCTCGCTTGGCCGTTGATCTGATGTCAAATCGAACTTCAACAGTCAAGCGAGCTCACGGAAAGCCGTGCCATCTCCGAATTTCGGCCTCCCGCTGCAGAGTGATGTTTTCAAAGCACGCACATTAAACTACAGAAGATATGCCGACCTGTACCTGCAGCTCAATCGAATCTATGCATGGGTTAACGGCTAAGTCATCTGAAGCTACGCGACATTGGTCCGCGGAGGCGGGAGGCGAGAGTGGTCGAATTGTTCAGCAAGAAAGGGCTTTGTGCGGCAAAGCGTCTCAAAGCAAACCACCCGAGCTCGCCGAAGCGTGCGACTCCAGTTGAGTGCCAGGCACAAGGCGGATCATTACGCTGGTAGGGACTAGCGCGGCTCAAAACTCGATGGCTCTACCATGTCAAGACGACGTCACGTATTGAACCGGCAGATGAAGAAAAAACCGACCTTACTACGACACGTTCGCACAGACGCCCAGGACTTTTCAATGGGCCCAAAGCTTGTCGCTGCACTTGTGATTCGCTCGCCACGACTCTCCGATCGCGTTTGTGAGAATACCATGTCGTGGCTAGCTTCTCCATGCCTGTGGTGTCACTGCCGCCTTGGGCCAGTCATGAAATCATAGAGATTGACCGTTCTGGCGACATGTTTGTTGTTATCCAAGTGTAAGCGGTAGCAGTAGCGCGTGGTGCAAATGGCTCACCCATATATATTCAGTCGCGTCGCTCTCCCCGAGTTGCCATCCCATCTCGAACGCGTTCAGTCACTTTCAAGATGTTGACCAGGATTACTTTCACCTCCACAGTACTCGCAGCGCTTGCTGCTGCTGCTCCTGCGCCCCAGGTCGCTGGGTACACCAACGCAGACGCCAGCTTCTCGGTCTCTGACCCAGTCGGGTCAATTGCCACCTCATTCGGTGAGGCTTCTCAGATTCCTGTAAGTGTTCCCATCTGTAGTACAAGGCTTCGAATCTGATAGCCGTGCAGGCCCAACCCACCGCACCTGGATCAGCTCCTCCTCGCAGGAGTTCAGATGTCACTGGCGCAACCAGCCATGGACCATACTCTGGTCAGGCCACTGTCACGGGGGCGGCACAGGCACCAGCGACTCTGGGAACTGCTATCGAGCCCCTTGGTCCGGCACCCACTGCCACATACTACAACACCAATGGCTTGCCGCAGAACCCCATGCCTATTCCATACACACCGGCTGGTGGTCTCGGCACCAACGGCACCGAGCCTCGTTACCAGGTGAACAGCGACTTCGACTACGAGTCCATCCAGCTCGGTCTCTACCAGGAGTGGATCGAGCTTGACTTGTTCAACAACGGTCTTGCAGTCTTCTCCGAGCAAGATTTCCTCGACGCTGGCCTTACTGCTGAGGATCGCGCCTACATTGCCTTCATGGCTATCCAGGAGACTGGCCACGCTACTCTCTTGTCGAACATGCTTGGCGAGACAGCTGCCCCTCAATGCACATACGACTACCCCTTCCGCACTGTGCGGGAGTTCATCGACTTCAACCAGAAGCTCACCCGCTGGGGTGAGTCTGGTGTCTGGGGATTCATCAACCACCTCGACTCTCGTGAGGTTGGTCAGCTTCTCTCCCAATCTATCGCTACCGAGGCTCGTCAGCAAATCTCTTTCCGCCAGATGCTCGGTCTTCCACCGCAGCCTGTGTGGTTCGAGGCTGGTATCCCCCAGTCTTGGGCCTGGACGTACCTTGCACCTTACATCAGCTCTTGCCCTGAGAACACCACTCGTCTCGCATGGCAAAACTTCCCGGTCCTTCACATCAACAACCAGGCTAACCCCAACCGTATCTCTCCCAATGACACAAAGCCTAATGAGGTTTCCGGAAACCGCATTGCTGACCCCAGCGACTCGACCATTGCTGAGGATGAGAGCTGTGTGAACGTCAACGCGACCGAGCACCCTGGTTACTCTTGCTCCCCTGGCATTGCCCGCAACCGCTCTGAGCCTCTTTCTTTCCCTGGAAAGCTTCTCAACTTGACTTGGGAGGTGCCTGGACAGGCTGTTGGCCCCAACAACTCTTATGTCACCTCCACCTCTGCTGGTGCACCCAAGTTCGTCGCTTGGGTCAACCAGCTTAACTTGACCTACACTCCGCTCGAGATCACCGGCAACAATTCTGGTTTTACCTACCAGCCTGCCGGCGAGGTTTACCAGGGCGACCCAATGGCCAACGACACCATGTTCATTGCGCTTACCGACTCCGATCTGTTCTTGACACCGTTCAACTTGAGCATGATTAACCCTCATGTTGTCGCTCTCGGTCTTTACCAGGCCGGCTAAGTGGCTCGTCAAAGATTGCAGAAATGATGAATAGAATGTACATAAAGTCTGGCAATTAGCCGACCATAATACCCTGAAGAGGATAAGAAGAGAAATTGTATAACAGTGCTGGAGTGTGTATGTAATCAATGAGTAATGTTACAAAGTACAACCCAACATCCTCTTTGCCCTGTCGTGACATGTGCCTATCGTTGAAAATGTTGCCTCTTGTATCGCGCTCATCTGACGCCTCCAACACTACCCACTTACCATGCCGATCCTCTAAGGTCTCGATCTAACTCGGCACCTAGCCCGAAAAGGAAATCTCAACAGTTCGGCAAGCGGCAAGCAACCAAGTGGGAACCATCAAAACTCCATCAATACGCAGCAAAACCTCGATCAATCCAACATCAGTCATCAAATCTGTACACATCCAAGATGGCGACTCAAGACTCCCTCATCCCTGAGCACAAGCCCATCGCCGAAGCTCCGCGCGCCCTCGACGCCATCGCCGAACAAGAACGCGCCAACACCCTCCCATCCTGGAACGCAACGGTCGCATTTCAACTAGGATGCGCACTGCGAACGCGCCTGTTGGTATTCGAAAAACCGACCGTCGTGCACATTTCGACGATTAGTGAGCCGGGCCACGTGCTTTTTCATGCTGTGAGTTTGTCCGTCACATGACCACCATCATAATCTATGCCTAGGTATGCAAGGAGATTGACGTCTTACGACAGGTAACCCACGCCGGCACCCAGCTCGACAACACATTCTGGATCAGCCGCAAGCGCAAAGCGGTCATTCGGTTCGGATGCAGCACATGGGCTTTGCACAACAAGTTCTCGGGGGACGAAGAGGCGTTTGCGAAGAAATTGGGGTTGGGCGCGACGGCGAATGAGTATGCGATTCATGGTGGTGGGGTGCCGATTTATGTCAAAGGGTGTGAGACGATGGTTGCGGTGGTTGTTGTGAGTGGGTTGAAGCAGTGGGATGATCATCAGGTTGTTGTGGAGGAGTTGGAGGGGGTGAGGAGGGGGTTGGAGAGTGGGAAGCTGTAGAGGAAAAGATCTAAGGATGCAAAAGGGGTAGTTGGTGTGCTGGGAATTCATTATTTGCAGTATCTGTAGATTGCATCGTCTCGCGTAGCTGGTGCGTCTCATTTATTTGCCTGCATAAACGATTATACACTATGAACAATTTCATACAGTGCTGCTGCTATCTAGGATTTTGCAACACCCTGCTCAATCGTCTAGCTTTGGGGTGAAGCGCTAGTATCCGAAAATGCAGGCAAGGCAAATCTTAAATTCGGTTCAAGTCCGCAGTTTCCGCTTCCTTTCATCATGTTTTAATCTCAGTGATTAGCATCGCGCCCTCTCTGTGATACGAGTATGATCTTTGAGGCCAATGAAGTGCCAAATAATTTCTAGCGCACCTGCGGCCCATACCACACGCTGGAGCTATGCGCACTATTGCTAGGCTTCGACCGCGAAACGAAGACCCAGTGTGTAACTTCAGGGTATCGGAAAACCCAATCCAACTTCCATCGTAGTGACGCACTGCCAGATCAGAAAAGGCTGGGTACGACATCTCTCGAGCTCATCACTAAATTGAGCTTGTGGATATAATCCAAGTCTCCTTCTGCGAGGTCCTCTTGATTCCAAGCAGTCTGGATGAGCAATCTGACCTCCAAGAAGCTCTTCATGTGTGCCTTTTTCTCCATTCTGGCCAAGAGGTTGAGAATGACCAGTCGGTCTTCGTCATTGTTAAGCTCGCAGCCGATAAAGAATAGCGCAAAAGGAGACAGACACGTCTCGATTTGGGCCAGGATAGATAGCGCCGTTGTGGTCCAGGTTTCCAGCTTGCTTGATTGCCCAGAAAAGTTTCGAGACACACGCTCGAGATAGATGAGGCCAGCTATACGAACAAGTTCGAGGAGCTTTTGCTCATGATTAATCACCTTTGATGATGCTTCCAGTCCAACTGGAGTCGTAGAGACGCTTTCTAACTTCAAGTGTAACTCGTCCAGATGCTGCTGATATTCAGCCGAAAAGTAGCCTGGAGCATACGAATACAAGCCAATTGCTGACACCTCAGCAACTAGCTGGATCACTGGATGGGCATGAGCAGAAATGCCGGGGACGCCATGTATAAACGATGACTGGGCCAGAATGTATTGCAAGGCGCATACCTTCGACCCACCTGGATCGAAACCTAGACTCTCCACATGAGATTTCAACTGCTCGGTACGCCAATGTCGAAATGAGAAGCGTGCCATGACGTCGAAGTAGTAGACCCAACCGAGCACGATTGATGCGTCGCTTCCAACGGCATGTTCTGCCTTCTTGATTGCTTCGAGTACTTTCTTGCTTCCCACAAGATAACCCACCCAGTCGGAGTGACAGTGCTCATATAAGTTGTAGATCTGCTGTAGCTTGGATGAGTTAGCTAAGTCTCAATGCTGATCCTGGCGACTACATACACCTAACACGCAAAGCAGTAAATTTGCGGCGACATGCTGGATACCCTGGCACATGGTTGGGTCAGTGTCGATTATGAGACCCCGTAATGCTGCGCTCTTCAATCTTTTCACTGTGGCAAGGTCGTCCCCGCGGTGGTAAGCTGCGAGAGCAAGCATAGCTTGATACACAGCTTTCGATGACTGTGAACTGCCATACAGAGCCGAGCGGATGATGAGATAACTAAGCTTCTTTCGGTCGATAGATAGTGCAGGAAGCAAGTGTATCACTACAGAATCGACTGCAAAATGTAAGCCAAGTATGCTGTGAGCTTCGTGCAAGGACTTACAGTATTGTACCAACTCCATGTCTCCAGTTGCCACGTGATCTGGTGCAGAAGGCCTCAAATCTGTGATATTAGGCAAGATGAGTTGTTCCCGCGTCATACGATCGCTTCCTTTGAGTTCCCTTTAGTTTTCGGAGCGCGGCATCCTCGGGCCTTTGCATATCTTACCTTCGCGCAGTACTCTATTCGTTGCAAGATGCAATCGCACATCTGTGGGCACAATATTGATCCACTGCAAAGTTCCTCGAATCGGAACGGTGTGACTGGTATTCGAGCGCGCTCTAGCGACCAAGGCACGACTGTGATCTTCTTTCGGCCACGTAAGGCGAACTCCATAGCCTGAACACTCTCGTCTCGATTTCTTGCAACGGAGACATGTGGGAATGGTCTTATCGCATGAGACCTTTCTGTCTGAGGCCCTTAATAAGTTACCAAGCTCTTATCATATGCAGCATCAGGCTACCAACCTTTACAAGTCCAACAGCCTTTGGGCGCCATCATCCAGGAGTTGAGTGCGACTGAACACCAAAAGGGATGTGAGGCACAAGTTTGCGAGAAGTCTTGTTTCGAGGATGCATCTCCAAGACATGCCACGGAGATTCGGCTTTAGGCGCAATGTGAGGAGAATGGCGTGGAAGAAAATGGTGCCTGTGAAGTGACTGGAAGGGGTTGTGCTAAGCCGAAGGAAGCTTGCTTGACCTAAAGCGGTTGCGAGGCACAAAACCGCGAGATCTGCCCCACTTCACGCTAACTCCATCCTGCCGCTTGGATCTCACCACGACACAAAGCGTAGATTTATCAGCGACTAATCAGGTATTCCGGTGTCCGCAGACGGAGTTGAAGTTTGTAAGCTCTTCCAAAAATATGCGGGGCTGCGTCAAAAAACGTTGACCATGATACGCTTGCACTACTTCGTACCGTCTTCCAAAGCACGTTCAGTCATCAAGGATCAATCACCCTCTGTCCTACGAGGCTGTGAGCCTGGAGTTTAGGTCAAAATCCGCGAGTTGCGCTATGCCATCGATTGCCAAGCTCAGCCCTCTCTTCCCAAAGTAGACACGAGGCTGTAATGCAGCACATGTAGCCCAGACTCGGCGGACATGGAAAGTATATATAAGGTAGAGGACGGACTGCTGAGCATGAGCATGTCTATATCCATTTTCACATCACTTCTTAAAACATTTGCCACCCCTCCACCACACAATCCGCAGCATCAGTCTCGACAATATCAAATCAGACAGCATGTCTTCATACGTCATCACAGGGGTTTCACGAGGAATTGGTGTATGCCCATACAATTGATCTCTTGCCTGCAATCTTCCATGCTGACTTGTGATCAGGCAGCTTTTCTCAAGAACCTCGCCAGCAACCCTTCCAACACAGTGGTCGGTCTCGTGCGCAGTGCCGCCGATACTGAGGCCAGAATAGCTGAATGGCGAACGCCCAACGTCCACATCCTTCAGGCTGACGTAACCGACTATGAATCGTTGAAGGCAGGTCCATCCAAAGTATTGTACCGACTTACAAGCTAACACACCCACCAGAAAGCCGCCGAAGCCACATCCGCCATCACATCCGGCAGCCTCGACTACCTCATCGCCAATGCTGCCATGATCTCGAGGTGGTCATCCTTTGACCCTCTGACCGTCCTCGGCAAAGACCCAAAGAAGCTCACCGACGACCTAAATGACGCCTGGAATACCAATGTCCTTGGCAACATCCACCTCATCAACCTATTCATGCCGCTTGTTCTCAAGGGACGCGTCAAGAAAGTCGTCACAATCACTTCTGGCATGGCGGACCATGATCTCGCGATCAAATACGGCATTTATGAGGGTGGTCCGTACTCGATCAGCAAAGCTGCCATGAATATGGTAACGTCGAAGTACCAGGCAGAGTTTGAGAAGGATGGCGTATTGTTTATGGGCATATGTCCTGGTATGGTCGACACGGGCATATATGCTGACTGTATGTCACTTTCAATTCTAGGGTTGATGCAAGTATGCTAACTTTTTACAGTGTCAGAGGAAGACACCAAGAAGCTTGAAGTTCAGGGCGCCAAGTTCATGAAATATGCGCCGCACTTCACGGGCCCGGACAACACGGAAGATTCTGTCAAGGCAATCTTGGGCGTTGTCGAAAGTAAGAGCTTAGCCAATGGAGATGGCGGTGCATATGTGTCGCATTTCGGCAACAAGCAGTGGATTTAGAGGATGTGAAGCTGCGGAGTGTTTGGAAGACCTGGATGCCATGTTATTCACAGTGCTAGCTAAATATATACATTGAAGGCGTATTCCCACTTCAAAGGCATGTTCCGGGAATCGAAGCAGTCTCGTTCTTGACGAAGCCCTTCAAGAAACCACCGCCACCACATTGTAGTCCCTTGACAAACGCCTTGGACACCAGATCAGCACCTGTAGCGCTGGTGTGTGTGTGGTCCACAGGGAACAGCTTGTCGGTCGCCGCCTTGCCAATGCCCTTCATGTAGTTTGCGGTGTACGCGCCGTGGTCGACGTACATGGCATTGCTTCCCAGCGCCTTGGCCACGTCCCTCGCATATCCGACGAACCTGCCACCATCCGTGTACGCGAAAGTGCCACCTTCCCATGGGTTGTTGGGTGTCTGGCTCGACATGATGACCTTGCCGCCCTTGGCAATAATCTTCTTGCCGGCCTCGGTCAGGTACCACGGGAAAGTGTGAACAGTCTCCTTGACACCGTTGTAGGTCGTCTGGCATGTTTCCGACCCAGCTCCACCACAGACTGAGCGGCCATTGTCGGAGGATGACAGGGATCCTCCATCGTTGTGTCCGAATTCGATGATGACGATGTCGTTGGGCTTTACGAGGTTGATGATCTCGTCGAAGCGACCTTCGCGGGTGTAGGAGCGCGAGCTACGGCCACCGATGGCCTTGTTGACGACGGTGAGGGATACGGACAATGGGAAGTATACACCCCAACCTATAGCATGTTAGACATGAACAAATAGTATTGCGAAGCTGAGTATTTACCGGTGTAAGCACCACTTCCCCTAGCCATGGTCGAGTCTCCAGCGAGGTATACCGTCTGCGCGCGCTTCTGGACATCGCCACTGGGTGCGGCGATGGCTGAGGCAGCGAAAGCCAACACGGAAACGACCTGTGAGTACAACATTTTCTTGATATAGCTCTCAAATCGGAAAAATGTAAGAGAAGTAGTCGTTGTATACCCACCAGGTCACAGCAGGTACCCTCCCTCTATATAACCAACCATGCCTCTCATTTTAGGTGGAATAGGGACCCCTGTTAGTCTACATTGCATAACGGCGACGATGCCCCAAACTAGAAGACACAACATGGCGGGCAATTTGATCTACATGCAACATATTGTCCACCCGAAGTTCGCGTCCACTTTACTTTGCGGGGATATTGGCGCGCTAATAGGGCCGAAGGCAATATACTCTACGTGGAACCGCGGCGCGATCCTGGAGTTGTTCCGGTAGGTGGGCGCGGTGCAATGCAGACCGAGCATTCGAACCCATGATGAAAATTACGCTCAAATAGGCCTCGGATTGAAGGAGTGTGGTTGATGTTGGCGGCCTTGTTCGAGGAAGAAGGAAGGAGGGTTGGTGGCGGGAGACAAGGTTTGATCATGCGGAGTATCTGGGTCCGAGCGTGACCCTTCAATCGCGTATCGTGTAATTCTCCGTGCCTGAGCTGGGGCATCCGTCCGACAACGCAACTGAATAAAACGCAATCCATTGTTGTGCAGCGGGCAACATGTAGCCCGCCTCCCGCAGAGCCACGTGCTACGTGAAAGCATAATTCGTGTAAGCCTCGGCTGGTTTTAAACCTCACAGATGGAAGCTTGGGGACTCTGTCTTGCCATATACCCGCGGCATCTTATGCGCCTACAATTTCTTCCTCACTCGCTTCTTCTCCGTTCTCGACTGTACAACCTTCCTGTCTTGCTTTGTCTTCCTTCTTCTGCCTCTCCTTAACTTTCCTTGGCTTCTTTGCACTAACCGGCCCGTCTGCGCTTCTATCTTTCCACTGGCAAACATCAGTCAAAACACAATCGTACTATCTCTCTCCTGTGTTTGACCTACCATGCCCCCATATCTATACCAAGGAAACTGTCCTTCCAAGCCCTTCGCGTCTTCCACGCCTCCCGAGACACTCTTCCAACATGCGCCAGGACAAACGAAGTGCCATTTCGCTGACTCGTCTATTTGGCAGCGCACAAGGACTGGACGAGTAGTGTCGCAGAGGGTGCAGGACTTCGGCGCCATGCTGCATGTAAAGAATATAGGTAAGAGTTGCTAGGCGAGGGTAGCATGAATATTGTAACTCGAATTGCAAAGTAGGAAGTGAAGAAAGCGAAGTGATGACATCATGCACTAAACGAAGCGCGGTGTTCCCTCTCTACAAAGACGACTTGCCTTAGGCTTCAATGCCCTGATCGGACTTGAAAATCATACACTGAAACATGTTTTATGCTCAGAGGAACGTTGTCAGTAAGTAATATAGCTGTCCGTAAAAGGCTTAGTACTTTCCGGGTTTGACTGCCAAGCGGTGCGCATAGTGCTTAGGCAACCTCACAAGACATATACATCAAACTCCATTATCGACGCCAAACTCTTGTATCTTGGACTCGCTTGTCCTGCCATAATATCGCGTATTCGCCATGCAGGTGTTGGGACCTGAGATCCACTCCCACGGTGGAGCCTCTCAACCTCCTGATCGCATACGACAAGACATCCTCTACAGGCTTCGATGGAGCATTTTATGGTCTGTGGAGGAGATCACCATCGAGTCCGGTCTTAATAAGGACGGCACCGAAAAGCGGCAGCCCTTTCTATCCCACCCGCTAGCCATGGAGTCTTTAGCAGACCCTCCCGTAATCCGCCTGCAACTCAGCAGTGTAGATCTGTACGAGGCGAAGCATTTCTACATGCTGTCGGAATCCTACTCGGATGAGCCTGTTGTCATCGAGAACACAGATGGACGACCAATCACGTTCACAGATTTCGTGACCGAAGCGCACAAATACCTCAGCCAGCACAAGGACGCCCTAGTCCTTTGCCGAAAGAATGCTGGATTCAGCAATCCGCCTCCACCAGGAGAGTTTGTCGGCCCTTCTCCGTTGTGTGCATTTTATACACCTATCGAGCACAACCTCTTCTTCAAATCTGCGTTTGGTGTTGAATGCCCACAAGGCTTCATCGTTGACATCGGCACATTTATGGAGGGAGAAAGGGGAAGATCTGCAGAGGCTTTCTGGAAGTCACAGCGAGAGATGGCAGCCTATGCGACCTTGCGCAGAGCAAGTAGGCCGAATGCTGCCCTCTCATAGAGATATGAATGTCCTTGATGATTTCTTTGTAACAATCTGACTTTGAACAAACGCTGTCTAACTAGAAGAAAACTCCTATTGCTGGTGAGATCACCAATACCCATGGAGAACAATATGCTCCGCAACCCAAAACACAAAAAGTTTATCGAATGTCAGATGCTTCAGATGGCGGTGCTGAGCTCTCCGTCGACTTCCGATGCGCCAGACGTTCCCGCTGCGGTTCAATCAAAGTCTCTTCATCGCTCATCTTCAGTCGCGTCCCTTTCTCCTCTTTGGCATTTCTTTCTGCGCGAACATGGCGATCGGACGCCACAACGCAGCTCACAGCAACATTTACATCCTTGTTCCCTGAGCCCTTGCGCGACTCAAGCTCTACGCCCAGCCCTGGCGCACTGCGTACTGTGAACTCTTCCGTCTTGAGAATGCCGCCGAATCGTGAAGCCGGGATATTCTCTTCTCGAAAAAGTCCTTTGATCGACGCCTGTTGATTTGCGACCCAGGATTTGAAGCTGCCTTTGTCTGCTGGCGTCGTGCCTGTCTTTGATGAAGAGTTGAAGGATCGGAAGCCGTCAGGGTTGTGGGGAGCATTCGAGCCGAGTGCGATCTTCTTGATCAAGCGCGCCATCGACATCTCGATGTTGAGCTTCACGAGATATGCCAGAGGGTGGAATATGGCATACCTATCTAAGGTCAGCTTTGAAGTAAACGGCTGGATTGTCTAGACTTACACAAATCCGTTGGGCAAGCTCATAGTCCCAAGGATGACAAGATCCATCAAAAGCGAGATGACAATCATGACAGAATTGAAGCGCACTAACCGGTTGTACTTTTGCAGCCCATTGCTGACTAAATTCTGCTTCACTGTACGTATAAAATACACGTTGAGGAAGGCGTCAATGAAGAGGTAGAGAACCTTTTCTAAGCGGTCATAAATGTCGTTGATATGGACCCAGCTGAACTTCGTGAGTACTCAAAGTTGAGGAGAGCTGAGAGTGCTTACTGAGGACTGATCTGCATACGCGCAGGTATCCAGATACAGAACACACTGATGTTGATGATAGACATGGCGACAAACGTCCCGATCATGAGTTGCTGTCCTCTCTTGCGATCGTGGAGAATAATTCGAATCCGGTTGACGATAATCTGAAGCAAACATTGTGTCTGAATGACCCAAAGGACGACTGTAAACGTCAGCTTTATTGCTCTTTGTGTCATGACTCGTGGTACTTGCGGATAGACATGAAGAAGTAGAAACTAGGCCTGACTGCCCTGACCAAGAACAAGAGGCACTCAATTGCAATAACAAGAGACGAAGCAATCTCCAGCCAAACCATCCAAAGATATACACTTTTCCACGGCGATCGAGCCTTTCTGGTCTGCTTATAGCCAGTGTAAGCTGCCGACAATGCGAAAAGAATGACGATGACGAATGCGACGATTGCAGTGATGAAGTCGCTGTCAGTGAGGGGTTGTATAACATAGGTCTCGTGGTTGATGAAAGGTCCCCAAGAGGTGAAATTTGTATCCAAGCCGTAAAGCATCCTCACGTGAGAAGAAAGGAGTGTTTGAAACGGTATACGTGAAGGAGGGCAGCATCTGCAATGCAGCGCATTAAGGAAGAGCTTCCACACGATAGCTATATATGATGGCCATACGTCGAGTCAAGACGAAAATACGACAAGCGCGTAGTAGTGTATAACGGGCCAGGGACTACCTTTTTGGGCGCGAGTCGAAGGTAGTCTGAAATTCTTCGGGGTCAATGATGCGCGGACGCGGGAGCTAGAAAAGCCCTAATGAGCGTGTTCAATGACACGAATCAGGCATGCAAGCACACCAGGTTAACTTGCGACGATTGAGTATGAAAGTGCATTCTCGCAGGCGAATACCGATATTGCACATTGAGAATCTGTGCAGCGGCTGTTCAATCATCATGTGGATGCGAATACCTCCAACCCATAGCAGCAATGAAGACGACCCAAATTGCAAGCCAACAGCGCCTCATCAATGGACGTTTTCGATTCATTCGGGCATTGGCAGAGTGTCGATCAGGTTCCCGGTGCCAAAGAATGGTAGAGAGCGCTTCGAGACGAGGGTCTACTGGTAGCGTCATGCAGCGGGACGGGTAGATCTCCGTAGGCTCCTGCTAACCACCACTCGTAAGGAAAAACACTGCTTAGCAGCTCGAGAGCCGTCGCGTTAGTTGCTGAAAAGCTGAGCGAGTTCGCACCGGCGCATGTGTCAAATTCAGCCACGAAAAGTTTGTTAGACACGAATCAGCCACACCGCAATTGAGTATGCGATCAAGGGTTAGCACATCCATTTCTTGGCTCTATACGCTTGTTAGCGGTGTTCTCTGCTTCTACTTATTTGACTTTCATGCATACCTGCCTTTGATATACGATAAAAGGTATGGTTGAAACCGAGATGCGCCAAAGGTAGCATAGTGCTCAATTGCCGGCTAATGCTAATGCAAGAATGTGTCGAAGTAGGGTTGCAGAAAGATCTTGCTCCAATACGAAATTTAATGTGGAGGCGGCAGCAGTATGACTTGTTGAAGAAAGGAGTAACAAAGCAACAATGACCGTGAAGAAACACTGACAGAGCTCACAAACGTCCGAGCACAAGAGAAAAGGAAGGTTGGACGACGTTAAGAAGATGGCTTTACATGCGCTAGACTTAGCGGAACGCCATCGGGCAGTTTTGATCGACCGCATCTTCGGCTGCGTCAATGACGAGCTTAGCGTGCCTTTTCTCTAGATGTCTTCGAGTCGTTCGTGCAGATCATATAGATCTGAATCGTCTTGCAAACTGAGAGGCAGATCAGCGCCGACTTCCCCACGTCGTAAAACGCTAATGCAAATCACTCCAGGAATTTCATTCTGTCAATCGAGTCGCAAAGAACGAGATTCTTCGACGGCTGCGAAGAGGGGAGCCCGAAGGCTACCACACGCCTGCAAGCAAGCACTGTTCTCGAGTCAGAAAAGCTGAAACTTCTTAAATATGTAATTGGTGGTGCTTGTACATACAATCCAACTGTCCAATCTTATTCATGCTTACTCCCAACGTCCTTGGACTACCAAAGCCCAGCTAAATTCTCACGTCTGGTGCCAAAAAGAAGCTCTGCTGCACGTCGGACTTATAGTTTGAAGTTGTACACAGCATCGTTAGGTTCCGAGTGCGATAGCCACGCCCTGTGTATAACTCCAGGCCATCAGATAAGCGACCTGCTCTTTCAGCATGATCGTTGTTCATCGTGGTGCTCTCCCACAATACAGCATGTCTGTTCAACCCAGCTTCCACTAACTACTTGTCGAAAAATGACGTGACCATCCCAGCATATGGTGAAAGAAGAAGAACACGTGCAACATCTACCTCGACATTCACTTTCACCACACGCTAAACCCCTTCTGTGGAGGGACTTCGAGCTCTCGCATTATGTAAAGCTGTTTGCCTTTTCCACCATACCACACTTGTCTGCACAACTCGCTCATTCAATCACGATTTACACCTGGCATATATCATTCAATCGCTACTCGAGCCGCACTCAGCCCAGTGAGTCCTATCAGGATTGTGTATCACCTCAACATAACCATTGACCCATCTTAGTACATACTCCGCGATTACCCTGTAAATCCATCGAGTAAGCAGTACCAATGGCTGATGCTCGGGTCTTTCGATTCCACGACAGCGGACAGGTCTTCTTTGGTGCTGTGTATGACGACACCGACGAACTCGCATCTGCCCACCACGATGAATCTGTTAGAAATCTGGACACCTCCGCGCCTCGCGTCTTGCCAAAGCCGACGCCGGGATTCGCACCAGCGTGTCCCCAGGTGGGCACTGAGCGGCGGCTCGAACACATCGCCATCCATGCCGCGGCGCAGGCGGAGGAGAAGAAGCGACAGCACAAGCAGAACGACACTTCCAGCACATAGTCCATATGTCCTCTCAAGCCTGAACCCCAAATTTCAATCTCACATCCACCGCCTAACCAGCCTGTCCAAACTCTTAACCCCCGCATGCGTCTTCGCCCTCATCCCCAAACCCCCCACCAAACCCTAACCCCCCAGCCCCCCTCCAACTCTCATACACAACCTTGACCCCCTCGACCCCCTCCCCTGTAACAAGGGTATATACGAGATCAACCTTCCCCCCGCGCTCCTTCACCTCGAGCACCATGTCGCGCACGCGCCTGGGCTCCGGGACGTCAGCGCATGCGGTGATGGCGGGATTGCGCTGCGTGAATGGGGCGGAGGAGGGCAGGTTTTCTTCCAGCCGCATACACTGCGCGGCGATCATGCCGGCGCCGGTGGAGTCCCAGATCCCTTCGCGCCGGTGGTAGGAGAGCAGGAGGGAGATTGCGCGGCGCCGGATGGAGGGGTCGCGGCAGCGGCACGCGGTTATGAATAGTGACACGATTGGGGAGAGTTCAAAGGATGGGGAGAAGTGCGTGGGGAGCGTAGCTGTGCTCGAGGCTAGTTTGGGCGCGATGGCGCGGTACTTGGTGCCTGTGGTGGATGGATGCAGGATGGGGATTGTCTCGGCGAGATCGACGATGGAGGTGAATGAAGATAGGAATGGATCCCAGGCCATTTCGGAATTTGTAGCGGCGCCCGAGTTGATTATGATGTGGACTGTGAGCGCGGCCATGGTGAGGAGGGCGTTACCGGCGTAGACTTTGGGGTCTGCTGTTTCTCTAGACGGCATGGTTTTCTTGAAGTCGTTGAAGGCGGATTGCCACTTTTTGATGGCGAGGGACATGGCGCTATGCACGTGTTGCCATTTTGGATGCTCCGGGGCGCAGGGATTCAGCTCGGCGACACCAGCGAGCCACATCATGCTGCGTAGGATGTTGACGAGGTCGTCGCGCGCGGCGTCGTTTTTGGTGTATTTGTCTGGGACCTGCGGACAGACTGGTGCTAGATCGAGGACGTAATCGTACGGCGAGGAGCTGTCTGAGAAAGTCATAGCCTCGAGATCGAAACGATACAGCGAGTTAGCAATTTCTCCTCGACTGATGTCCAGCCGTGATCCAGCGCGATGTTGCTGATCTAGAATACGCAATCCGCTTCGCAAATGCATGCTAGCGATTTCGTAATTTCCAGCCAGATTTTCGTAGCATGTGAAAATAATACACGCAATCAACACCATTTCCAAACTCGCCTTGCCGTTCTGGTACGCAGTAAGCAGCTCGTTCGAGTGCTTGATAGCCTGCATATACTGCACAAACGCAAAGTCGTTGCCCGTCGCCATGGACACAGGCGCCACACCTTCATACCGCTCGTGCACGACACCCAGCGCGAGAATGCCATGTTTAATAGCAGGCTGGTCATGGCTCAATTGCAGTACCAGTCGACTCCAGAGCTCTGAATCGAAGAACTCTGTCCACATAGGTAGCGTGCGAGTTTGGAAGTACTCAAAAGACCGATTCTCCTTCAGAATCGGACTCAGAGCTTTCCCCAGGCTTTTGGGAATGCCTGGCTCAAACCTGTGCGGCACGACGAGAAAGGCTGAATTGCGATACGAAGCGGCAGCAGTATGACTGCGCTTCGTCCCGACGAGATGGGCGTAGCTATGTTGTGTACAGTCAGCCAAGGGGCGCCTCCTGCAGCCATGGTGCATATATACCCGTCACATTTGCGCCCCGTTTTAGTGCAGCGCAGACAAGCGGGGTGTGTTTCATCGCACTTGACTTTGCGAATCCTTCTTGCTTCGTCAGCCACGCGTTCATTGCACATCCGCATCCAATACAAACCTGCATGTTGCACAACCTGTCTTGACTCTAATTCTGTACTGCTTTTCCAGGGAGCGGAGTTTGTTCGCGTCCATGGAGGGGTGGGAGGAAATGTAAAACAGACAGACGCTATGGTCACAAACTGCTCACTAGGACATGTTGCGATGGGAAAGAGAAGCCTGTATGGGACTTGGAAAATTAGACTACAGATCGGACCTGGGCGCCGTTAGCGGGTGAAGACGAGACCTCGGTGTGGTTCAGGTGCCAAGCTCGAAGTATCGCCGTGAAAATGATGCGCAAGATTTAGGCAGCTGCCTCAAGCCTCCACGAGACGCATGAAGCAAAATGACAATACTGATCAGAATGTCTGACATGGAAACATAGACTACCATTCGATGTCCCTAGAAAAGTCACGTTCAACAAGCACGCGCACCCGCCACAAATTACATTGGAAGCCCTCAAAAAGGAAGAATGCCAATGTTCATATATCTATGTACGCCACAAAGGCTTGTGTATAGTATCCATGCACGCCAAAACCCTTACGAGAGAAACACAGATCATGCAAAAGGCGCACTGCCGCGCATGCGAATGTGTAAACAACAATGCCTGGTGGGGATTCCAGAACCACGAAGGAGAACGCCGCTGGAGGAGCACAAAAGTCTCCGTATGCAAATCGTCATGTGAAAATGTATAGATGTAAGGGGAATATGGTATCGAATCTGTCGACTAGCCGACAGGTATTTATCGTGGGGTGTGGTTTTAGCCAGGCCGCCTGAATGCTTCGACATTGAGAGTTGGGGTCTCGACTTGTCTGTTTACTGGGACGCCTTCGTTCTTCCTACGGTCGAAGAAATTCTGGCACTCGTGGCTCACAAATGTCCATTCCGCAAGTGCGCGGCCAGCGTAGCGACTCGATGTTGCGGCGGCACCTGTTGGTTGTGCACTGGACACTGCGTCGATGTTGATACCCTTTTGTTGCAGAAGGATTTGAGCAGGTAGCGGAAGTCGAGGCGGCTGCAAACGCATATTTTGGTATGCGCCAAAGCGCTTGTCCACCCATTCGAGAGAGAAGCGGAAGCTATAGGAGCGATGCGTGGTGCTGCTAGGTTGGGGTATCGGTGCGGGTCTTTCGACCACTGGAGGCTTCTCGGCGGCTTCCGGGGTAGGCTTTACAGCTGGGGCCTTGTTTGTGTTTTCCTTCTCCTTCTCCTTTGTGGTGACTGCCTTGGACTTTGCAGCTTGCTTCGAGCTGCCTCCAAAGACACTTTTGAGGATGTTCCATTTGCCCTTGGTTGCGTCTTCATCCGGAAAGTCGTGCGAATCTGTCGACAAAGCAGAGGTGGGCCGAATGGCTTCAGGCTCTGGTGGTACAGGGTTGGAAGGGGAAGGTTTGCGTTGATGCGGATTCTGCACCACGCCGTCGAATGACAGGAAAGGACCATTGTTGGCTACAATAGGATTATCATTACGTATGATGAGGAAGCGTCGGCCAGGTGCAGGGTTGCAAGCAGTCGTAGAGGGAATGACAGTGTTGTCGTGCTCAGCCGCTTCTTGAAGCCAGAGGTAGTGTGACCAGATAGAACGCAGTCGGTCACTCAAAGACCGCTTGATTGCGCTGCAAAATGTTAGTATCAGTAAATGCGAAAGTGGAGGATGAACGTACATCTCGATATCAGTATCGTCTCCGTCGAATCTAGCAACTCGCCAGCAAATCAGCCGCATAAAGTAGGATCGGACCATAGGACACCAATGATTGAATCTGCTCTCAAAAAACTCCGGCTCTAGAATAAAGTCCAGGCAGAGACTGGCTTTTCTTCGTTCATCCACAGCAATCGTAGGCCAGATGCTGTACAGGAAAGCGTAAAGCTTGATCTCTGTCGCTGTGTTGTGGCTTTGTGTCATCATTTTACAGACGGAAAGCCAAAACGTCCAGTCCATGACCGAGTGATGCTCTCTGTCGCTCTGTTCGTATCTGACTAGTATTGCGAATGCTTCCTCGAGGAAATCGCACAGTGTGTAGCAAGCATTATTGTCGTATATCGCAATCTTGCGCGCCTGCGCTCGTAGCAAGCGGGAGAAGCTCTCTGCGAAGATCCGCCTTGCAGGTTGAAGATGTGCGTTGCGTTCAGAAAGGAAGTCGCGGATCAGCATTACGAGACGGTTCTCTTGCATCTGACGAGTGGCGTTTGCGGCCGGAATGGCTAGAGCCGATGCGTTGGCATCCGTTTCCAGCACGTCGTCGAAAGTGATAGGAGCCACTGCTGCAGCTCCCGGGTCTTCGAGTTGTGGAGGTGCAGTGTGTCGATTGATTGTCGCGTCTAGATTGACGAGGATTTGCGCATGTACTGGAATAAGGCCTGGCACGCAGATGCGTTCCGCGTCAGAAGGCTCGACTGGCAGGAATTCCGTGACAAGGATGTGGTAGTGCTTGACAAAAACGTAGAACAGATCGCTTTCTGAGCCTGCCCAGCGCTTCATCCAGAGACCATACCAATCAAGGTCTGCCGTGCCGAAAGGTGGTGATGCTGGTTGACGCAGCGTTCTCGCCAGCTTCCCGAGAGTGCTATACTTCAAGGAATGCAGCATGGGCGGAAATGAAGCCACGATGCGGTCAGAGACAGCGTCTAATCTGTCCATTTTGGAAACACCTGATTCTTCCAGAACGCGCCTCATCATCTCTGTGGACGGCGCCCACAGTCGAACCAGGATATCGGCAATTCCTGGACAGAAACAGAAGGCATAGGCACACGTCTTTCCGCAAAATGTCACGAGACTGGCTGCTGCACTTCGCTGCGACATTTTCTCAACGACAAATCTCATCTGAGCGGAGAGATTCTGCGTGAAAGTGTTTCGTACATTGTGGTACACAGACTCAGCAAGGAAGTCTGAGGAGCTGGACGCAGCTGAGCCCAGGGTTGAAGTTGAGGACGTCTCGGAGCGGTCTGCAAGCGCACAAAACGGTGATGGTGAGAGCCTCCACTCGGGCCGCTCCATTACACCCGCAATGGCTTCGAGGATGGCTGGACGGTCGGTACCCGAAATGGACTGATTGTTTCGCCCTGCTACAAGCTCCAAGAGGCCTGTCCACCATGCATTGAGGATATTCGTCCGTCGGTCGAGATCTTCTGGCCTAAGCTTGTGGTTCGAGGGGTGCGAGGCATAAGTGCGTAGAAAAGGGAGGAGAGTGGTTCGGAGAACGTTCGCTTTCAGCGCAAGGGACTTGGACTGGAACCTGCAGCTTGTCAGAGGGTGAATGTTAGGAGGATTGTGTTACCATACTTGCGCAAATCCGCGTCGAGCGTCCGGAACACGGTCCAGAGCTCATCCTTCTTGCGCGGCTCCGTCTTGACGCCTTTGAAGTTCTCGTGGGAGACGTTGCGCGGTAGTGGGGGCACACCAGTCGGGCTGAGCGGCGTGCGCGGCTGCGTGCTCAGCGGCAGCTTCTCAGTGGAAAACGACTTGGGAACCGCGGGAACTGGAGGCACGTTGACGGTGGCGTTGAAAAGACCGCTGAGACGCTTGTTCTTCTTGCTAATGGGCGCTCGTGGCTGGACGGATGAGGTGGTGGTGGTGTTCGCTTCTGAGGTCTCAGGAATGCTGGCAGTGCTGGCTGTCTTTCGCTTGTTGGCTTCTTGGATCTTCTTTGTGTTCTCATCCTTTTTCGACTTCTCCCGGGAAGGCGAGGTCTGTGGATTTGCGGGGTAGCGAGTCTGAGGATACGATCCAGGACTTCCTGCGTAACTTTGACATGGATCGTGCTGGGGAGACGCTCGGCTCGTCCTCGTGCTTGACTGCGTCCTTGCGGCCACGGTCGGCTTTGCGCTCCGACTTGCGCTCAGCGCTCGGCTCTCTGCTCCTGCTGGAGAAGGAAAGAAATCTCGACGACCGGCGCGAGCTAATGGACTCGAGCTTAGGCCTCAGTTCTGGCATCTGCTCGATTTCGGGTTCTTCCTCTGAACAAGGGCTGGATCCACCCGAGCTGTCCGACGTTCTTTCCCCATGCGCCTGCTGCTGCAACTCCCCCTCTGCGACAGTCCCCTTCACGCCCACAGCGGACGACTGGTCCAGATCGTCGACGCGCGGGAAGTACGTATACGAGGCGGCTTTGCTCATCTGCGGCTGCTCTTTCCCACGTGGTGATTGGGGGCCGACTTCCGAAGCGGCCCGACTCCTGCCCCGGAAGGCGTTGGAGAAAACATTATGTCCGCGATTGGCAGGAGCGACGGCGGCGGCGGGCATGGCGAGTGTGGCGGCGGATTACGTGGACGGGCAGCGGTGTTCGCCTGGGACGGCTCTCGAAAAACTGCAGCAACGCTTCTATCGGCTCATTGCGTGGTGTACGGTGGGCGGCAGTGCGGCGTAGTCGTCGGGCAAGCTTCGCAACACAAGTCGTGGGTGCGATGTGCAGTGCTAAACGTCACAAGGAGGCTGTGGGGCCGGAGCGAGCAGATGGACCATAAAACATGTGCGCACGGCAAAAGCGAGTGTGTTTGCAAGGCGAGCTGTAGCGACTGACGAGGACACTCTGTTTGAGTTTGAGACTGAGGCTGACAGCTCTGGGGCAGCATGGCATATTACTTGAACGCCCGCAGGACCGCTGTGGATGAATGAGGGCTAGCAGGGATGGCACCTGCCGCCGCAGATCGCTAGAAGGGTTTAATATAGACATTAAAACGGCCGCCTTGTCTATGTACCTCGCGAATCGCGTACAGCCTGCCCGGTGCTGCTATTTTCTGCGTCGCCACTGGCACGCGGCGGCGACAAAAGCCCTTCAGGTCTCATGGATGGCGGCGTCAGGTGCGATGCCAGACTTGACGCCATTCGGAACTCTGCAGCGCAGGGCCTCTGCCCATCGCCGTGCTTTGCATAGAGTGTGGCTCGTGCAAATCGCTTGCTAATCTGCTGCGACGGTGGACCCAGAGCGCAGAGCCTTGATTTCTGGCGACGCGGACACTGCAATTTCCTGTTCCTGTTCCTGTTCCTGTTCCTGTTCCTGTTTACACCTTGTCCACATCCCAGACACTTAACTAAAGCGCCGATTGTTATCACGGAGATGATGCCTGCCCTCGCTGCGGGTTCTTGCCGCTTGACATTTTCTCCGAGAAAGCGCAATCCAGTCGAGGGCCGTGAAAGTGAGCAATTTTCTGGGCCAAGTGGACGCCAGATGTCCCAACGATGTTCCAATACGCGCTAGATATCCCATGTGCATGGTGGATGCAGCCTGCATCGAGAGCCGAATCTCCGCTTCTCAGCCTCTACCTGCCTGCAGCAAGAGCCAGCCAATGATGGCGAAGCCCTCGACTGGTGCGCTCGTTGTCGTCCGGTCTCCCGACAATCGATTGTGCTGCGTCCTGAATCCTGAACTTCACAAGTGCAAATTGCGACTCTCACATGCTGACTCGCTGTACAACACTCCAAATTGGCTGCACTTGGGCCTACTCGTGATGCATGGCGCTGAAAGCGACCTTCAGCATCATGTATCATGTGTAGTCTGCACACTAGGTCGGTACGACATGCCGAGTAGCCCCGTACATTGCGACCTGCTGATATCGGTCGAGAATCGGCAGGAGAAGGGCCAATTATCGGGGCACGTATCTGCGTTGATTCATTGCGCAAGTTGGACCCTCGGGATCCCCCTGTTCTCCGACCAGGTCTACCTGGGGAGCAGACACCCGTGAACTGCTGCTGCAACAGGGACGCATGCTTGGCTGCACCCCAATCTACATGATACACATAATGAGATCAGCCATTCAAACTCTGCATGCGCGTCTTGGTTACTGTGCGACCACGTGTAAAAAATCATGTTGTGTCACGTGATTTGGCTCGCCCAGATGGTCTAGAGAACCGCAGTTGTCTATTGCTGTTCGATATTGACACAATCGCTAGTATTTTGATACAGAGGTCTCAATCCAGCGTCGCTCCGCTTAGTGAGCGGCAGTGGTGGTCGACTCTTCCTCCTCCTCGAACCAGTCCTCTGCCGGCAGCGCCGCGCCCTCCTCGCTTGAAGCGCCCTCAACCTCGACCTGCTGCGTCTCGTACGACTTGAGCTCACTCGCAATGTCCGACTCCTCGGGAGATGTGGGCGTGGGCGGGATGCTGAACTTCTGGACAGAGCCCTCGGCGTCCGAGGCCTTGACTTGCGGGACCTTGTAGGCCTTGAGCTCGCGGAGGTACAGGTCCTGTACCAGATCGGCTGGAGCACCAATTGGGTCAGTACTGTCGCAGGGTGCGCAATTGGGATGCCTCACCTGAGCGAACGGCCGTGGGAGTGATGAAGGTGCGGCGGGTGACGGAGGCAGTCTGCTGCCGGGCGACGCGTGCGAACGCCTGGCGCTGTGGCGGGTCAGTAAGCAGCTGCAGAGGTGCGGCGTGAAGGTCGTACCGAGGCCCTGATGGATTGCGCAAGCATGGTGTTGATGTAGACGGGGTGGGAGCTGACGATGGGAGCTTCAGAGTGATGCTGTGGTTTTTCCACAAAGCCGACGATGAGCCGCCCGTCGTAAAAGGACTAGCGCCAAACCCCATGGCTTGGCACCGGTCGGTGCCTTCAGCTTCTTCGACCACGCTTTGTCTCACCACTCCTCCACCACACACTCGCTCGCTGTGTCTGCCCACGACGCACGCTCACTGGTGTTGGACGTTCGCTCCTTAGCTAAACTTGCGATCTAAACGATAAAACGAGAAACGAGAAACGATACCTTGCGTGACCGCCGCATACTGACCCTTGCCAACCAGCTGCTGCCCACCATGTCGTTCGCTCCAGACGGCCGCCTCCTCTCGCCTGGCGAGGTCTATGAAGCCCCCAGCCTCACCAAAGAGGAAGAGGAGTGGCGCGAGGACCTCAACGTGACTATGATGTGCCCGGGTGAGATAGACTTCCAGGCCCTGGTCGTCGCACCCGTCTCTAATGCCGCTTGCAGATTGCCGCGAGATGCCTCCAAACCTCGTCGAAGAGTTCAGCTCCGGCGACACGGTCTGTGGCAGCTGTGGTCGAGTCCTGGGAGAGCGCGCCATAGACACCAGGAGTGAATGGAGGTACACTGCATCTCGTACCACCTGCGATGTAGCATGCTCACACTGCGTAGAACCTTTTCCAACGACGATCAGGGCAACGATGACCCGTCGCGTATTGGAGATGCAGCTAACCCTCTTCTCCGTATGTCTACCTGTGCCTTCAAAGACATGAGAACATCGTTGACAACAGTACAGATGGTTCCCAACTCTCGACCGAGATCGGTTTCGGAGACGGAGGACTTCGTGTACGAGAGCTGTCGCGAGCGCATAACAAGTCCAACCACGACAAGGCGAACAAGAGCTTGCAAGCTGCATACAGCCAGATTGCGACGCTGTGCGACTCGCAGAATATCTCGAAACCCACCGCAGAGACGGCAAAACTACTGTTCCGAGTCACGGACGACGCGAAGCTCTTCAAAGGCAAATCGCAGGATGCCATTATCGCTGGCTGTATCTTCATTGCCTGCCGCAACCACGGCCAACAACGAAGCTTCAGAGAGATTTTCAAGATGACCAACGTCAGCAAGAAAGAGGTTGGCAGGACTTTCAAGGCTCTCGAGGCATTCTTGCAGAAGAACCAGAAAGTTGGCACTGCATCGAGTAATCTTCTGCACGATACGACCAACTTCCAGACCGGTGTCACAACAAGTGCCGAGAACCTCATGCCCCGTGCCTGCAACAAGTTGGGCCTCGAGACTTACATACAGCTGGTCGCGGAGGAATGCGCCCGAACGGTCACAGAACATGGCATCGCTGCAGGCCGATCTCCTCTTTCCATTGCTGGGGCTGTGCTCTATCTTGTCTCGCATCTGATGGGAACGCCAAAGACGCCCAAGGAAATCGGGCTGGCAGGTAAGTCGCCCTTGCACGAGTTGGCTGTAAGCCGTTGCTAATTGGAACTTCTCCCATGTAGTCGAAGTCAGTGATGGTACCATCCGAACCGCGTACAAGTAAGTCGAGTCACGCTATTATGCCACATTGCGAATGTTAACTCTCATAGATTGATGCATGCTCAAGCAAACAAGATTATCAAGGAGGACTGGATTCGACGTGGAGGCGACCGTTCCAAGCTGCCCGCGGCATAGGGAGCCTATCAAAAGAGTAAATGAACTGGCATCGTTGGGAACAGAGTAGGCGACAAGGTGTGCCTCGGAAGGTTACATTGCGTTATTGAATTTCGGCATTAGCGAGCATGGATGGAGTTCAGGGTGATTACACGGGAGCATCAAGCACGCGAGAGCACAAATTGTGAATTGCGAGTCGATTTCGTTTTTCCTGTCTCACATACCCCAGTCTTTCATATACAAAGTCATAGAAACGAAAATATCACGGCGTTTGGGAATATGGCCGGCTTTTCTGAACCTCGAGTGATTCTGAGTGACATCACATGCACTTTTGCTTTGAATACGGGAACTTGGGAAAATCAGCTGCGGATTTTGCACGTGCAATGAGCTCATTCTAGTTTACATGGCAAAAGTAACTTGAAAGTGTTTGTATTGCCGCCCTCCTGAGCAGTGCATGCTTGCTGCACATAATTTTTTCCTGCTTGCAGACACTATTCAATAGTCTCACCGCGTGCATTTCATGGTACGCTTGCTTCCTAGCGCGTGAAATGCCGGTGCCCGAAGCTAACGTCCGGTTCCTCGTACATTACTCGCTCTTTTGATGTTAGGGTCTGGGTGCTAGCGCCGGCATGTGTGGTGGAATGCCGGAGTTGGGTGAGTGGGGATGTGTCGGTGGGGCGGAGTGAAGTGGGAGTCGGGGTAAGGGTAGCGTGCGCGCATAGAAGAGTGCGCATGGGAAAGCGAGAATAGTTGTGGGTCAGTGTAAGTGGTTGCTGGCCAGGTATCTTGGAATGAGCTGAGTCCTTTGTTGTTGATATGGGACCTTTTTGAAGAGTTACTTGTGGTTTGCTTTGGGGTTGAGGGTGACTTGCGGACTACACTGTGTTAAAAGTCACTTTCAACGGATGCGAAAGCAAAGGTTTTGTTCCTCAAGGATCAAACGGAGCAAGAATCGGATGCTCCGCGGTCTCCACGTGATGAAAACATGGCGATTTTGTGGTTCGGACTTCCGTAGCTGTAGTAGTCGCGGAGCGGCCCGGAGAAGCTCGAGTTCGTATTGAGGGTGAAGAACTGGATGTTGATGCATGCATACCATGTGGTGCCAAAATCGTGGTATCGGACTTCTATGCGTGCAGTAGTAAAAGCTCGGAATGGCGTTGAGGATGTAGGAAAACGGTACACTAAGTTAATGCGAATCAATTATTCATCTATCCGGAGGTAGGAAGCCGAGAGGGCCAGGTTGAAGAAGTACTTCTTTGCACGATTCTCACGCCGGAAGAATAACTCAGTTAATACTCCAATGCGGTGAGGAAGCGTCGAAAGAAGAGTTCTTGATTCAGAACACTACGAGCTGTGGCTTTCGATTGATATACATATCAGTCTATTTTCTTGGATACATATGCCTCATTTTACTTACTTGTGACCTCTCGACAAGTAACCGCTGAGGATCGCCTATAGAGACTCATTGGACGCATCAACCGTTGGGAGAGACATGCATGGGACACTCCACCGTCATGAATGCGGAATTTTTAAAGGTTGTTGGCAGATATGGGTCTGAACAAATGACTGCGGAGGGAAAATATCTCAGGAACTAGCGACATGGCCTGCACATGATGCCCATACGGTTCGGATACTCGACTCGCCTTAGCCTCGTATAGGTGCAGGATTGATGAGTGAAACACGTCACCAGCACAGTGGTGCAATACACGCGATCTCTAAGTTTAGCACTATTGGTTTATCGAGCATACTGACCTTGTTATTCTGCATGAGTTTTACTAGATTGAGCAGTCAATTGCCGAAGTACATGAGCCGAGATTAGGAGACCCAGAAAGTAGAGTCCGACCATAAGTATCCATTATCTCTTGTCCGGTGAGCTCGTCGTGGTCGTCTTGCTATCCATTCCATGCAAACTGCGGCCTACCTTCTTTGGACTACAGACTTGTTTGCCGTCCAGTGGCCTGAGTGACTGCGTGCATTCGTCTATACACGTTCCGTCACCTGTTGACGGCTTGTATATCTCCAGTCTTCTTCTTGAAACACCCTCATTTATATCTATCTCCATTCGACACCATGGTACTCACTGCTACTGCTCTCGCTGCGCTGGCTGCCTTTTTACAGGTGGCTGTAGCAGATAGGCAGGTCCACTTCGTCAACAAGTGTCCATACGCATTGTTTTACTGGGTTGTGGGCCCGGAAAAGTCCAACCTGTACGTTGTGTCTTCAATTTCATTGGTAGTTCAAAAAAACCATCACTTTGCTTTCCTGCAGCAATGTCATTTGTCAGACTGGCTGCTACTCAGCTTGCTCATTGGCGACCACCAGTCTTCTACCAAAGCTTCATGTCATTGATACTAATTTGTCCATAGTCCCAGCGGCGACGAAAACCACTACGAGGTGTTTGCAAACAGCAACTCTTCCCACGCAATGCTTGACACCCGAGGATGGGGTGGTGGTGTTTCGCTCAAAATTCGCGATGTTCCTTACTACGAACATCAACCTGCAGGCATCCTGCAGGTCGAATACACGCTCGACCCGGCTAAACGATCCATCTGGTATGACATGAGTTACATTGACTGCGATGCAAATGTTGGTTACAAGGACCCAAAGTACTGTCCACTCAAGGATGGTGGGATCACGCTTGAAACGCCAGCTAAGTTCAACTGTCCTAATGCCAGCTGCGAACATGGCGTATGCAGCAAAGTCTACGATAAGCATGGCGCTTGGCCTGGTGAGCCGAGCTACGCTTGCGATCTCGATTCGGATATCATGGTCACGACTTGCACACATGGCGCTGGACAGCCTACCTACGACTGGAAGAATGAACCTGACAACAGTACACCGACGGTTCCCGCACCAGTCGTACCAGCGCCTGTTGCTCCCTCTCCCATTGCATCTGAGTCGGCCGTACTCGCTGCTCCCAAGCCAATTTATATCTCTCCAAATGGTACCTGCGGCGGATCCACCGGCTACAAGTGTGAAGGAAGCCCCTTCGGCGACTGCTGTTCTCGTTTTGGCTGGTGCGGCTCATCTCCCGAACACTGCGACACCGTCCCCCGAAACAGCACCTGCACTATACCCGAGAGACTTACTGTCCCTGCACGTCTTCCCAACGTATCAAACAACGGGCTCTGTGGTGCCAAGAACGGGTAAGTTTCTCATTTCACTTTCAAGAACCATGCTGACGACAACACAGCTTGTCGTGCGAAGGCTCGCAGTTCGGTAACTGCTGCTCGCGCTGGAACTACTGCGGAGACACTGCCGAGTACTGCGAGGATGGGTGCCAAGATGCTTTTGGCCTCTGCAACAACGAGTACAAGTTGGATCTCGCCATGAACGTCACTATCGCTAAGGGCGTCGTGACAAAGAAGAACTAAGTACACCGTGAGTTGACATGTGCACCGTTACTTTCGATCTTCATACTGACTGACGTACTCAGCGCTGTGCGACTGCACCTCCAGGTGCTACGGCAAACATGGTGCTATTGTGAAGGTCGAAATGACTTCTACATTCTCTCTTTCCACACATAAACAAAGACAGTTTTGGCTTTGACGTCAGGGGCCCTAGTGGTTGCTGTTCTTTTGTTTGATTTTACCCCTTTTCTGACCTTTTGCTACGGTTGTTTGGTCCTGGTCTTGTTGGATTTCCGAGTTACGCAGGTGCTCAGGCGCAGAAGGGTCCTCGGGGAAAGGCTTATAATGTTAGACAACAACTGCTTAACATGTGATTAGTTATGCGTGTTTGCGAATGAAATTTGATCTCAGAATTAGACTTAATCGATATTTGTGATGTTTTGGTGATTTTACATCGATGTGACATATTCGATGCTTGGTCGAAGTGAAAGCTTGATGATGGTCTGTTTACGCTGACCCTCCCGATGACTGCTTGCTGCCAACTCTTTTGAGTCTTCTGTGCGTTCACGCTCATTCTTGGATGTTGATGAGACCCTCCAGGATCAGCGACTCCGGATTGAGAATTCCCCAGGAGCTATGCTGTGATCTGTAGATGTGGTAGTTATCAGCTCGAGTCTGAGAGATGACCGGTAGCTTCCACTCGTGGCCCAGTTTGCGCATTTCTTATCATCTTTGCTACTGCCGCTAGTTTCCCACGATTATGTTTACGCAAGCATCCTTTCGTGATTGCCCATGTCTCCTGCGTGTATACTTTGCGACATAAAAGCAGCTGGGTAGATGCAAAATTTTTGTTCTGCTTTAGAGCAACGTGTGTGACGTCCCGAATGACTATGGTACGTAGTGTTTCCCTGGACGATCTGTCGAGATCGTTGGTTTGCTAGCATACTAGACGCAATAGCCGTTGTATAATCAGCTTTACAACGAGCACTACTATCATATGTATATATACAAGTGCTCTATCCCTTTTCTAGTAGTCATTGCTCAGTCAATTCGTCCTTTGCTTCGCTCTCGAGGCGAGTCCTTGCGGCCCCTCCTCGAGGAGCACTCAGGGGATATTCGCAACTCACCGAGTATTTTCAACTCCTTCTTCAAATACGTCCTGTCGTTTTGTAATTCCTCTCTTAGGTTTCTAGTCAGTCGACTGCGGCTTTTTGAAAAGTCTATCACTATGGCCACGCGTCATTCCCTCGCGATACCGCACTATGGAAGACAAGGTGAAGGCACACTCACTGCGTTTGCTGCGGCCTAATCCCTGTGACTTTCGCTGCCGCTTTGCCGCTTGCCTCTTGGGATAAATCGAGTCTCTGGGCTTGCTATTGGACTCCCCACTCTATCAAAGGCATCAATTGATCAGTTAAATTTGTCAAGACAAATCCTCAACCAGCAGTTGAACTCAAGTAATTGAACGACAACACTGTTTCTTATACAACCACTGCTTACTGCTACACCTTCCATTCAGCATCTTATATATCGTTGCAAGATGTCTGCTGTCGCAGCTCCCCCTCCTCCCCCTCCCCCCGGTGGCGGTTCCGGAAAAGGCCCTGGTCACAACTCGCCTGGATCGAGCAAGTAAGTCGTAAGTATGCACCATAAGCAGGAGACTCTGGCTAATCAACTCAGGGGCTCGCGTTCGACTGATCCTCGAAATCGCGGCGACGGCTCATCCGCCAAAAACGCTTACTGGACACAGTCATTGTGGAACAACCCCGACCAGGCCCAGTACGTCGTCAACCACAGGGGACTGCAACCGCCCTATCAGTGGGTTCGTTGTACTCAGGGAGAGGCTCGGTACGACTTTGACGCCGGCTTCCCTGTGTACCGAGTCCAGGGAGACAGGGCCCGAGTTATTACGAGCATGGCCAACAGGAAGTCCATGGAGAGGGCTCGAGGTGACCCTTTCCATGACCAGTTCCGTGGCATTGAGCAGGAGGAACGCGATCGAGTTGCCCGCCACGAGTCAGTCGGCAACGAGGAGGAGATCATGGAGGGTCAGTCATCCAATACCAACAATTCTTGACGATCGGGCATCACTAACTTTGTCAGATCTCGACGAGGAGTACGAAGGCCAAGACCCGAGTCCCTTCGATACAGCCATGTCTCCATCTCGCATGGGTAAGTCAAATCACATCCGTCTCCTGAATTCCACTGAAGTCAACCTCATAGGACCAGGCTCGTTCAGCGGTAACGGCTCCCGCGACCAGACGCCAGTTCTAGGCGCACCGTTCACCCCTCGTCGTCGCGGCACCAATATGGTCGTCTCCTCAGGGACAGGGCTTTGGAAGCTCCCCACGTGGTCAAGAACTCGGCAGCTCTCCCCATAACCCAAGTTTCGGTAGTTCGCCTCGCGGTCCAGCCTGTGGGTCGTCCCCTCGTGGCCGCGGGCAGACGTCTTCACCTCACAGTGGTGTCCCAGCGTCTTCGCCTCGTGGCGGTGGCTCGTCTTCCTCCCCTCGCGACAGACGGTCTGGTGGCAGCGGTTCTTGAGGCGAACAATGGAATGGCTAAATGATATCTTCGTGTTTTGGACGAGCCCTGGTTGTTTCTGGACAGATTTCAAGATGAGCAAGACCTTTAGATGGGTAAGGATCTGGAATACTGATTAATCAATGGCAGAACGTTTTGTATATTAGCGATGCACTGAGGTACCCAGCATAGCCTCAATTGACTATCGAATACCATCTTCGCTTCGAAACAATTTCGAACGTCCCGTCTGACAAGACGGTGGCTGCAAAGTTGTGATTGTGAAAGTACCACTTACCAGTACCGCAATAATTTGACTGAGGAAGAGAATGGAGGAAACGATGCGATATTTGAGATGTAGAGGATACGGCGTCAGGAATTCGATAGTGCATGAACCTGCAAGGACTGATCTCCACGGCCGTAGGCTGGCACGAAAACAGGCATTCGTCAAGCTACAATGGTTGTTGTATAGATTCGGAGCGATAAGTGCGGTTTCGTTCCACCAGAATGGAATTGGCATTTACTGATAGCACATCTCCTGACATGCACAGGGCATATGAACCCACAAAGACCACATTATCCTTTTCAAATTTTGATCACAATGTGCTACATACTCCAGCACATGTATTGCATCCGCCCCTCAAGCTTGTACAACAAACAACAATGATAAGGTCCACTTAGAACTTAAAACTATGGTCCGTGTAAGATTGCATGTAAGCCAAGAACCTTGGGGGTCTCTTGTGAGACTTCCTTCACAAAGGATACTCGCCTTTCGCAAGCCCAAGAATTGACTCAACCTGAAACCTCCACCACTCCACGGTCTCTCTATCGTGCATGAAAGAAATGTACTTTGTAATCTGGGTGTTGTTTGCTGTAATTCCATGTCCAGATTGCGCGTTGAGGGACTCGAGGATTGTTGGTCTGGTGGCGGCGGACTTTCCTTGCCATTCCTTGCTCACCATCCAGGAGGCGAATAACTTCGCGCTCTCCGGTGCTTTGGTGCTCGAGAAGATGCCGAGCAACTGGCCCCACGACATGAATTGCTCGGGTGCTTCGGGTTGACGGACCTGGAAGGTTGGCGCCTCTGGCGAGAAGCTCAGGGCAGTGAACGTCAACAGGCGGGAAGAATTTCCGTTCTTGATGCCGTCTACAATCGCAGTGGCGGCGGCATTGGCACCCCGGACCCACTGGATATCTTGCTCTTTCAAACGCTCGAGCCACTGGAATCCGTACCGGCCGATGATGAGTGAGAACAGGTGCAAGACGCCATCATCGTCGTTGGGGTAGACGAGTGCCATTTTGCCTTTCCAATACGGGTCCAAAACGTCAAGATACGTTTTGGGGATACGATCCACTGGGACCTTGGCAGAGTCATAATAAAACGGGCCGAACTGGTCTACGAAAGTCAGGGCGATGCTTGTCACTTTCCGAGAACAGTGCCTTACAAATGCTGACAGGGATGTAAGCGCCTTCTAGATCCTTCAGCTCGTTGCTGATGTCACCAAAGGTGGGAGGCTTGTATTTCAACAGCCTGGCCTGCGAGTTCCAGCGTGTATAGTCTTGAACCGTCTGCAGAATTGCGACATCAACGAACGGCTTGCCTACTGCGTAAGCTCGGTCAATCTGAGCGTCCAGGTACTTGGAAAAGCCGGTCGTCTGGTCGATCTTGATGTCCGGAAACTGCGCGTTGAATGCAGCAACGACGTTGTCGCTGGCAGTGGAAGCTATCACACCTGTTAACTGTCGCCTCTTTGTTAAAAAACGCAGTATACGTACAGCTTCCGCCAAAGTAGACTTTCAGCGGTTGTCCCTCTGACTTCGCTGCTGCGTAGATTTGTTCCAAAGAACGTGTCTCAACTTGCAAGCTGTCAAGCGACTGACCGGCTGTCCTTTGTATGATTGAGGCTATAAAGCCAAGAGTGGCCAGCGGAATTTTGAAGAGCATCGTGATGAGAAGATATTCGGTAACGACTGTTGAATAGGTAACTCACGACAACGCTGTGGTACGGGCATTTTATATACACATTTGTCCTTCAGTATTCACCCTGCGGAAGCCTTCCACAGGTTTGTCAGCGCATGTCCCTATCACAGAACGTGGATGAATGCTACTCCGATTACTAGGGTATGCAATGTATGTTTTAGCCAAGCCTGATATCCTCGCAATTCGGATTTGTAGTTTGATTATCAAGGCATACTGGTAGTGGTTAGCGTGGTTAGTGTGGTTAGCGTGGTCGGTGATTCCGTGTCCTTGCATGGATCAATTGCTAGGACCCCCGGATAGGTTTTCCGACATCCGATCACATCACCGCAACCATGATGATCTTCAACATTTCTTGGCCCCTGTTTTATAGAACAAACGATTTCATCATCAGTATTTTCAATTTCCATGTTGATCGGCTGATACTCAAATCGCCGAGTCTGCGTGGCCGAGCACAATAACTTCATTTATGTTCTTTGTCCGTCTACTTCAGCAATCACATGACATAAACGTGAGACCACGGTCGAACCTGCCTCCTTGTCAGCGAGTGCCACCCTCCCGGAGTGACTGTCAAAGTAAAATTAGGCCACTGCCGCGGCTATAGCGTTTCGACTCACTCAGCACTGTGCATTGCTTCAGAAGGCCAGACCGAGAAACCTAAGTTTGTAGGATACCATGGTCATGTAACGTAGGCGTTTTCAAGCAAGTTTTGCGTTGCCGACTTAACAGTGAATCTGTCACATTAGACAATTTACGTCTCACAGTCTGATTTGGTTCGCATGAATAAAGCATGTAGACAGCCGTTATTTTATGACCTGTTATCATGGTTGAACCGGCAATCGACGAGTACAAAGCTACCTGGGTATTTAATTCCACCTCCTGCGCGACTTTGTTCTTCACATACATACATACATATAGAAGCCCACACTATCTGGGCTAGTCAACGCGATGCAGAGGCCTCCATGATCATATTTTTCTTCTAATTCGCCCATCTGAAACGAAAACCGCACTCTTCTTGGTGCCCAGAACCCTTCTGAATAGCGCACTCATTTGAAATCTTTCTAAGCGTGCGCTGTGCCAACGGAAACCCTCGCCATAGCCGACAGAATTGCAGCCGCTTGAGACCATGCCTAGGAGTCAGTTTAAGCCTTCTTTTGCAGCGATGTTTGGTGAGATTGAAACTTTAAAGCACCCGAGACAGGGCGCTTTTCCTAGGTAGCTTCAAAGAGGCGTGTTCTTCGGTGACAAATGGTGTCCGAATAGGTAGCCGGATACACAAGGGAGTAAGAAGTAAAAAAATTGATTCATAATTAAGGTCGCCTAGAGATTCAAAGCGCGATTCGACGCGTCTTTACGCTCGCTCGCTAGCGACGTTCGAAATGCATCGGAGGTCGTGGACATATGATCGGGTAGAAAGACTACCTAAGTGTAATACGAGTGGAGTGTCTTTAGCGGTATTGAGGTTAAGGAGGCGAAACGACAACTTGTTGGGTACCAGACACTCCACCATTAGCAGTGGAAATCTTCGGCTTGCGCATTGCTCTAACGCCAGATGAGCGAGGACGAAAACTTTTTAATCTTTCCAGAGAAAATGGGCTTGTAAGTTTGACCTTCATGTATTGATTGGCAAATTTGCTCATGTAACGCTAGTCCAAAACTTTCCCAAAGATGAGTAACTATTCTAAGTTTTGGTACTCATCACCAGCAGTCTTCATAGCAAATGCGACTGCAACATTAGCCCCCAGGCATTCTCACCAGTCAAGATTCGTAGGCGTAGTTTTATCGACCCTACTCCAGTCGTATACCCCTCCACGCTTCCTAAACGCATCCTTGTCCCAATATACACTTTCGAGGGCTTTCTGTACTCCGATTTGCAGTATAGATTTGGATGGCTGACGACCGTCACGATCTAAGAATCTCATATATTCGTCGAGTATAAGGTAAGATTTCGCCATGAGGTGATTTGGTTCTTCTACCAAAGAAGCCTGTTGATTGTGCCTTGCACAAAATTCTTGGTATTGTTGGTCCGTTATCACAAACTTTCGGGCATCGCGACGGGTGTCGCCTGAGTCGTTCTCGCCTTTGACGATCAATACTTGAAAGCACTTCCATCGAAATGGCTGGAGAGCATTGATATGCTTGTTCAAATCCTCCATGTGGTTGAGCAGACACACGACCGTATTGATCTTGAATTTGATGCCGTACTGCTTGCACCATGACGAGATTTTGTACAGTTGTTGCACCTGATCTCCAGATCCTCGACCAATCTTGATATTTGTAGCTTCGTCGAACGAATCGCAGGACACAGCCAAGATATCGATGTTACAGCCGTGCATCTCCAAGAACTTCTCTGTAACGAGACTGCCATTGGTGACTATCGAGACCGATTCGAGGTGCAGTTTCGTTTTGCAGAAGTCGATTGTCTCGCCGAGGAAGTGCGCATACAGGAAGGGTTCTCCGCCTGCAAAGTTGATTTTACGCATGCCAGCCTGCTTCAGAAGTGCAAGTCCTTCCTTAGCTTTGTCCAAGTCTTCCATGTGTGAGGTAGTGGCAGTATGGAAGCAAAAGCCACAAGTCTTATTGCAACGACGTGTAAAGTGGTAGTTGACTGCGACAGGACATATCTGCCGGACAAAGGCGTATAACTTGACGATTGCTACGATAGTGGCGAACAAAACGACCAAGTATACTGCAAATGCCATTTTGGAAAGTTATTGTGGCAGTGTGAAGAAGACTTCCTACAACGTTGCTGCCGGTAACTGAGGGGTAGCGGAACAGATGCTGACGTATAACGTTGCACGAAACCCCGCTTTGCTGTTTTGGCTGATAGCAAAACTCGTCTCTCGCGAGAATCTTCAATCATTCAATATTGTGAATTCCATGGCGAAACCGATGTTGTTCATCATTGGTAAGATTCTTCAAAGGCGCCGGTCTCGATACTGACTCAGGGCAGGTGCTCCGGGGTCTGGGAAAGGGACTCTATGCAAGAAACTGCATGAAGAATATGGCTTTACCCACCTCTCTGTAGGCGACATGATGAGAGAACATATGTCATCGGCAAACACCAACTCCGAGATAGTGCAATGTATGCAAAGTGGACAGCTTTTGCCTATTGAAGCACTCGCCCCAATTTTGAGAGCTCAGATCGAATATGAGAGAGAAGGATCCAGAGTTCTTCTTATAGACGGCTTTCCAAGGAGGCTTGATCAAGCCGAGCCCGTTGAGGCGTTGGTCTGTCTTTTCTCAGCATTTGATCTGCTTTTGCTAATGTACCATAGGTTGGTCGTCCAATAATGGTCTTGTTCTTCAATTGTCCAGAACAGGTCGCCATGAACCGCTTCCTCACAAGGAAGCTGGCAGGCAGAGAGAAAGATGACGGCGAGATGTTCACAAAGAGGTTTCAGGAGTTTGACAAACTGAACCCAGATATAGTTGAACATTATCGGAAGAGAGGTCTACTTCTTGAGGTTTGTAAAGCATGTCACTTCAACAGATTAATGGACTAAACTCTAATGCTAAGGCAGGTTGATACTAGTGGAGAGACTATGACATCTTTCCAGATGTTAAAGAGTGCCTTGGAGAAAACAAGTGTATGGTCGTTGTTGACTGGAATGGCATGAGATTCTCGACTTCGAATTATCCTTGGCTGCATATGGAAAGTGTGATCAATTGTAATTCTCCGTGTCGTTAGCGTGTTATGTCAATGAACAAATCTCGACTAAGGGCAACGTTATTTCATGAGGCACGCTAGCGTTGACGCTAAGCCTTTTTTGCCCTCGTACTAGCGTTGAACTTGTTGCACAGCATCGGATTCATGAGACAATGCGCTTATCTTAAGATTGAATTTCTCTTCTGCGCATGTGAGCCCACGACACGTTTCGGACCACCTCGTGTCTCTCGCAATATTCACAACTACAACAGGACAATGGCCCGGTCTTTACCAGCGCTTTCCTGTATCCTGGAAGTGGAGCGGAAATTTCGATCGCTCGCGGTGCAGGAATTGACCGCACACCAAGGAAGCCCTTCTTTCCGAAGCGTACGTTCTCTCGGACAGCGAACCCTACATGACGTGTACTATGACCAATCGAGTCTCTTGTCTTCTGCGGGTGTCTGGGTCAGGCAACGGAATGGACAGTGGGAGGCAAAGATCAAAATGGGCGGCGACTTCACGAACTCCAAATTTGAGGAAATTACTGGCCATCGCGACATCTCTCGATGCGTTAAAGAAATAATCGGCGGCAAATGCATAGAAGAGGGGCGGCAATTTGGACTGGTACAGACAGCAGCGTTCGTCACTACAAGAAAAGCTTGGATAGCGGATGATGAGTTTCAAATTGTACTGGATACTACAGATTTTGGCCATACTGTTGGCGAAGTGGAACTTCAACAGCAGGTAAGCCTTACGAGGGAGAGGGAGATGTGTCTTGAGCAAGAGAGGCAGAGAATTTTGCAAAAGATGGACGATAGAATTGCAGCATTTATGACACACTACGCGTGGGCATTTTGTCCTGGAGCGCCGAAAGGGAAATTGACAGCCTATTTTGAGCGCGAGACCTACCAATCCATGAGCGAATCGACCCGAAGGCCAAGTAAACCATGAAAAGATCCTATAACTTCATGTAATGCTTGTATCGGCTCGGCATATCGACCAACTCCACCAACCACGTTGCCTACGAGGGTCAGCGCGCTCGAATTGTCGCTGTGTTGATCGAGACTAAGAGCCAGAGTCGGACGGCGATGGAGTCGAAGACATGACTCAGCGTGTGGGTGGCGGTGCAGGTGGCACAGATCGAGGCACTCGCAGGGCAGCTTGCCCCGCTTAAGACTGAAAGGCGGCAGTAGAAGCACGGCCTGGCAGTTTAGAATCAGAAAGATTCACACGAGTTTGACAGAAAAGCCGCGGGAGATTTGGCAGATTGTCGCGGGCGGAGCAGCCACAAATGGAGGAACTGACCCTGACTCCCAGCGTCGTGATAGTCTCAGATCCCTGTAATGTGGAGCTGCTCTGAAGGCGTGCATTTACGCGTAGATCACCACCAGATCATAGGCAGCTAGATGAGAGATAGCTAAAGCAAGAAGTACAATCGTTTCCACGGAGGCACCTACGTAGTACCTATGTAATGGTTTATTCTGGTTCGATCGCCTAACATTGAAGATGGCAGAATGCTCTCTGCAAATTGGCAACACAGTTTCATATGTTTTATTCATATGTATCTTTGTCTTTTCAATGTGACAAAAGGCGTGTTTAGAAATTTGGAAACGCAAAGGACTGCTACAAGATCTCATGATCACTGGACCTGATGCGCAGTTATTGATCATGGGAGAATACATAGTGAGCTCGTGTTCCAAAGTGAATAATATGGGCCATTGTGGTATTTACTAAACCAAGCAATCTTGCGAATACCTCATCTTTCTAAGCTTCGCGTTGTCGCAGTGGGTTGATCACCACGTCTTGGACTTCAAGGCCTATTTGAATTTCGAGATCCACCCTGTCTTGGACTTCAAGGTGTTCTTGCTTCGCGGCGCACATATAGGGACTGCTGTCAGTTTGGCGGAAGAGTCGGTGTGGCTGCCATGCCGCTCCAACAGCGCCTTTCACGTGACGACATTTTCACCTTACACTTCACGGAGGAACTATCTGCCGAGGTGCCGCGATACTGCACATGTGACCCGTTCTCCACCTCTAGCTGACCTTTCTTTTCCTCCACCCACGCAAGCACCTGCGAGATCGACAGATTGAGCTTTTCGTGAGTGTCCATTGACAGCACTTTCAATTTCTCGTACTGACCCCAGACCCTAGATTAATAAGCAGAGAACATGAGTTTCGGAAACGAAGAGGCAGACAATTTCGCAGGTGACGGCTGTAATTCAAGACATATGTTGGTTGCGCATCTTCTGACAAGATCAGGTGCCAACGATGGCGTCGACCTTGTGACGAGCGCGTCCAGCGCGACCACGACTTCAAGCAACATGAGTCGTTCTCGAGGTACGTTCCGCTCATAGATGTGCACCAATGCAAGACTGACTGTAGCATAGCCTTCTCGCTGTCCACTGCCACAAGCACCGAGAGTCTTCCACATGCTCCACCTTCCGGACAGCTGGGGACCGTCGACAACGAGTCCAGCAAGAAGAAGCGCAAACTCCAAGACGGAGGTGCGGTCGAAGCACACGAATCAAACACCGTCGCCGCCGAAAACGAAGCCTCCGAACACGACGCCCCCTCTGACGAACGCGGATGGGAAGCGGCCCATCGCCGCGTTGAGGCGAAGCTTCTGAAAGCCGAAGAGAAGCGTCTGGAAGAGCAGGCCCACAGGCTCGACTGGCAAAACAAGGCCAACGAAAAGGATGTTACGGCACATCAGATCAAAGTCAAGCACATGAACACTACGACACATCTAAAGGCAGAGGCGACACGGATGCATGAAGTCACTGTTCAGAAGGAAGGAATAATTGTCGGCCTGCAGTATAAGATCACTCAGCGCGACCTCACCATCAACGAGCTTGGCAAAGACATACTTCTAATGCGATTGGAAAACTCTGAGCTCAAAGCTCAGAACAAATACCTTGTAGAGCATGCCTCCGCTCCGATGCCGTGCCGCGACGCCTTGTGTGTTCCGCATTTCGACCCCTCGGTCCACAGCCACGAGCGCTACCAGCATCCGAACGCGCCCAAAAAGAATGCTCTGTACAAGTACTTCCAACCAACTCGTACTTATCGGCGCGGCACTGGAAAGGTTCGGCCCGGACGTTACGGATCGGGTCTGAACTGAGATCTTGGTCTCTGTCTAGTCACCTTCACCTCTAAGGCCGTCTGCAGCGACACCAGCTGTGAGTATCGACATGGCCATCTTGATCCAGACGAGCGCCTGTACATGGGGTTCCTGACTCCGAATGGTCCTAGCTTCATTGCGTCCAGCGATGAGTACATGAGGGGTAAGGCCTCGAGGCCTACCTAGATGAGCTTCCGGGTAGATGATGTGTCTTTTCTTTGGCTACGAGATACTCCAGGCTCCATAATTAGATTTTGACGAAAATGTGATAGTGCTTGGTAGTAGGCCTAGATGCTGGATTAGCTAGCTAACTTAATTAATGACACGATTACTGCAAAATTGGATGAAATTATCAAACTTTACTCGTCCTAATGCATTTCAGATTGTTTTTGCGATGTTGTGCGTGTGAAATGCAGACATGCTGATAAAAACGGGCCCACTCACCTGCGCACCCACGCTCACTCCAAATGCTATTCAGATAGATGCTTAAACATTAATTTAAAGCTGTATATATGTTCAATAACAGTCCAAATAACTCATCGTTTCAAGCTGCGTCTTGGTCTGATAACCCCGTTCACCCCGTTCACCCCGTTCACCCCGTACACCCCGTACACCCGTATCACGTCATATCGATCCCTGGCGTCCACTATTTCTTTTTGCACCTTTTTACGCCTTTTTGCGCTTTTTTTTGGCGCGTCATATATCCACCGGTCCTAGTGATCGTGATGTCAGCTGGAAAGTTCCTTTTCATATGCTCGGTCAACCCAGACACCCCAGGTCATCCAGGAGGACGTCACATCGATCCCTGACGTTCTCAATTTCTTTCTTCTTCTTTTAACGTGCCTTTGTGCGAATTTTCTGTGTACCTCACATTCACAAATGTAACAGCACGCTGTATCAACCCGGTAACTCGATCATTCAGTTTCACCAGCTGAAGCATTTCAACCTCGTCTACCACGTTCAATCCCTTTTACAGCATGCGCGATCTTTTGCCGCTTCTTTTTACTCCTTGTGAACCTTCCCTCATCGATTTCCAGCACCTCACCATCATCCAGCACCTTTCGTTTCTTCCCCTGCCCCGACTTTCCATGTCCCGGTGACATCATCCCCTCCAACGCAGCCTCCACCTCATCCACCGCCCTAATCCTCCACGCAGCCTCAAAAACCCACTCCGCATCCATCCCCGTGACCGCCGTCCACCCCTTCCCCTCCTTCCACCCCATCGCCTCTCTTCTCTCCGTCTCATTCATCGCCCACCGCATCAACCTCCCAATCTTACCCTCCCACTCCGCAATCTTTTGCTCCGACGCATTCCCGCCACACGCTTTGATCTCCGTCAGCACGTCGCGGTACATGGTCTGGTCGCGCATGGCGCGGCTGAGCCATGTTGGATCGAGTTTGATGGGCGCGTACTTGTGTGGTGAGAGGAGGACGCATGTGCGGTTGCAGGTGCCCGGAGGGAGTCCTGCAGGTGAACAGGAGAGGCAGAAGTTGTGGCCGGAGCGCATGTCGGCGATTAGGTAGGTGCGGATCTCGTCGGTGGTTTGGAAGGAGGAGAGGAGGTGGAAGAGGCGGGCGAGGGGTTGGGATGGTGGTGGTTGTGGTTTCTTTGGGCCTGGCATGGCTGTGAGTGTGCGAGTGTTACAGTGAGATAAGAATGTCTTAGTAGAACTCGAAGATCACGACGTCAAAAGGACTCGTGTTTGCGAAATTTGCTCGTAGAAAGGTACCACGAATTTAGAAAAATTGAGAAGAAATCGTTTCGCAGACATATGTATTGTTGATGGTCGCAAAATGTACAGTGCTCTACATGCAACGATCGACGTAGACTAACCAAAATATTGGTCTCGAAGACTTGGAACAAAGTCATTATGAAGCCGCGGATCTATTGTCTTTCTTTACCGTCTTTGCCGCATTGTCTGCGAGGTGAACCTTTCAGTGCATACTCACACAGTGCAAGGATGACCAATCAACAGTAGCAAGCTGTGAGATCTTGAATTCTTGGAAACATCCGATAGGCAAATTAAAAAAACGAGTGATATTAAGACAAAGAACTAATGATTTATTGTACATTATTGTACTGGACGTTTCGACTTTCGTGACATGATTTAGTAGAAGACATAGTTTAGCACGTTGAACCCTTACTCGTTCCTGGTTCCTCTGTAGAATGACCCCACGTTCCTGAATCTGGTCGTGATCGTCTCTACAGTGTTGATGTTACAGCCGCAAGGCACCTCTACACCATCGAAACGATCGGCAATCCATTCTAAGTAGTCGCGCGTTGGGACCATCGCCGCAACGTTGTGATCGGCCTCCGGGTACAAGAGTAGCGAAGCCTTGGAATCGGGGAAAGCGGTGCATGTTTGGTTGAAGTCCCATTCGGTGTTGTTTGCGTACGTTAAAGGGTCCGCGACACCTTGAACGACAAGCATGGGTGCGGCGAGGGCGTGCGGACCGGCCCCATTGTAGCGCTTCTGCCAGTGTACGACATCCGGATGTTCGAGCCATGTGAGGTTTTTGAACAGCTGGTCACTCGTCAGATTGGCGAACAAGGCGCGTCCAACTCCGAGGCAACCTTGGTCCATAAGTGAGAGGCGACCAAGAACAGTATCCGTGACATAGTCTTCGATATGGAAATTGGGAAAGAGGGCTGCGAGCGACTGCAGGAAAAAGACCGAGACAGCATCGCCGATTGATCCGCCATTGGCACGTCGGATGGACTCAGGGATGAGGTCGAGAGGACGAAGCGCAGGGGAATTGGCGACCGATCCTAAGAACTTTCCAGCCTTCAACAGCTCTTCCTGGTCAGGCATGGCAAGGCGCTCGTTGGTTCTCCAAGCCGTCATACCGCCTTCACTGTGACCGACAACGACGTACTCCTCGGAGAGCAAGTCACCAATGACTTTGCGTGCAGCAATTAAACCGTATGCGACGTCGGCTGCGTGCAGGTAGCCGGTCTCATACATGAAGCCTTGAGGAATGTCTGAACCTTGGCCTGAGTAGTCTGGCGCAATGACGGCATAGCCAGCAAGAGCCAGAGCATACAGGCCGCTCCATTCATAATACAGTTGAAGTGGTTGGAAGCGCACACTCTCTGATCCTGCCCGCAGTGCCGTGGGTCACACCACGGTTTTCAGGAGCTCGTCAGGGTCGGGCTTGCTGTACGGCAACAGTACGAATGCAGTGGCCGGGATGGGCTTTCGGTCGATATCTTCAGTCATGTACATGAAACGCGAGATAGACATCCCCGCTGGCGGAGTAAACTTTTTGTTGACATCGTTGCGTGAAACATCTTCCCATCGTAATAGGGTGCCTGGCTTGGCTCCGGTGGAGTTGGTCGGAGTTGTGTAGAATGCTTCCTGACTCACGTTCTTCGAGATCCAGTTTGCGGTCTCAGCCTGGAGTGCTTTTTGGAACGCGGTTTGACAAGCGGCGTCGCATGCCTCTTGTGCACAGCTGACACTGAGCAAGAGACTTATGAGAGTGGTATAAGAGAACCTCATGCTGGAGAGTAGAAAGGTCAAAACAATGATGATGATGACGATGATGATAACAATCCTTTTGAGGCCCTTCCCGTTTGTTTATTTATATATTGCGATCGACACCGCCCGCATGTAGAACGGCGTTCTGCCGATCGTGCTCTTGCAGGTACGATGTACGTGATATACACGCCATAGGAAACTACGAGGTGTCAATGGCTCTACCAAGAGTGCCGTACGCATCCTTGTCAACTCAGATGCGTGCCGCATGCCACAGTGCAGCTGAAGAACTGCCGAGAAGTTCACCCATGCCAGGAAGATGGTCTTGAGCTGGCTCCGACGCATGACCAAGAGCAGAACCATGCTATACCTGCACCATGACTACACAATCGGTTTCTTTTCGGCTCTTCCTCCTGGAAAAGGTTAGTGAGATGGTTTTACCATGCAGTTTCTCCATCTTTTCACGTTGCCGGCACACAACCCGAAGAGGGGAGGCTGAGGGGACGCAGTACCATTCGGACCGAAGGAGGAGAGGCTTAAGCAACTTCGTCGTCCCCTTTCGCTTTCCATGCCATAGCTGCGACTTGTTTGTTACGTACGAACGACGCGACACAAGATGCACAAAGTTGGACGTTCAGCCACGCGCGGATGTTAAAGGGACCGAAAGCCCGGGATTTGGGACCAACGCCCTTTCATAAATCCTCTGGCCCACGTCACCTACTGCTAAGCCATCTCGACCGCATGCTGTTGCGACTCCCAGAGTATTGACAGAAGCCTGAGTATTATTTTTGGCAAGACACCTCTATGCTTTGTGGCGTTTGCAAAGAGACGTCGGCTCGGAAGAGAGGACTTATCAAGTCGTGACGCGTCTGCGGCCATGCCAACCAAATGGAAACCCTTCATCGATGCATCGAAGCGCATCACTGCACGGGCGTGCCTAGGTGCTTCGTTGTCGGCTCATGTCACATGAGCACGCGTTGAACGGTTTTTGGTCTTTCTTCGCCAATTGGCGGTTGCCTAAATCATCAGGCGGCAGTGCCAATCGACGCGCTGTCCCGCCGCACCAGCGCGTCTCGACAGACATCGCCTGCCTAACTTCATCAATGATCGCTGAAGGATACCAGGCTGCCAGCAGTTCAATTGCAAAAAAGTTGCCAACCTACGAAGGTACCTGAGTACATAAGTGTTCAATGTTTCGTCCTGCTGTCATCTCGTCCCCGTTCAAACAGCGACATTCCATCGTCGCCCCTGCAACACTTCCTTCATCTCAGTCAATTTACACTTAGCCATCAGGATAATGTCATCTCAAGTTCAAAACTCAGCTCCTATCGAGCTCCCGGCACTTCCAGCGGATCACGTGGACTGGATCTCGCATGTCGTGAGCCACCAAGATACACCGTTGCGTGAGCTGATCGCTCCTTACAAAGAATACGACTCGAAACTGCGCGAGATCTTCGCGCAGCAGCCCGAGCATGCCGCAATCGCAACGCCTCATGTGGTTCCTGTTTTCGCAGGCCGTGAAGAGGAACTCAAGATCCGGGCCCGCAACATCACCACCGAGTCGGATGCTGAATGCCAGTGCTATCTCATGCCTCTCAATAAGAATGACCGCAGAACCAACGGTGCGCCAGCAGTGGTGCAGTCGCTGAAGGAGTTCCAGACAAACTTCCAGCTATTCTCCGAGTCTGCTCTAGTCGACATGGACTGGTCCAACGTTGTGGTTGCAGGAAGTGCTGTTGTTACTTCTTTGTTACCTGTCCCGGAGAAACACGGCGGATCTAAGCGTGCTCTTCGCGAGTATTATCACCAGCAACTTGCACCAGCCTCGGATGTCGACCTCTTCCTCTATGGTCTCACAGAAGAACAAGCCATTGAGAAGATCAAGCAGATTGAGCAACGCATCAAAGACTCCATCCTGACAGAGACCACCACTATCCGCACCAAGAATGCCATCACCATTGCTTCACAGTACCCGACACGTCACGTCCAGATCGTGCTACGTTTATACCGTTCGATTTCAGAGATCCTTACTGGCTTCGACGTCGACTGCTCCTGTGCTGCATATGATGGATCCCAAGTCTATGCCAGCCCTCGTGCACTGGCTGCCTACATGACTCAGGTCAACACAATTGACTTGACCCGCCGCTCCCCTTCATACGAGAATCGCTTGTCAAAGTACTCTAGAAGGGGATTTGAGGTCTACTGGCCATTGCTTGATCGCTCGAGGATCGATCCCACATTGTTCGAGCGTTCTTTCGGTCGCACTCTGGGCCTTGCTAGATTGCTCGTCCTGGAGAAGTTGCCAAAGAACACAGATCGCGAGGCATATGTCGACCAACGACGCGCCGAGCGCGGCCGACCCGAAATTAATCGATGGTCTGCGCGCAGTCTGCAGGGTAGTGAGTAACTTGTATATTCCGACGGCATATGAAGCCTATACTGAACTTGGTTAGACATGAAAGAAGAACACGGCGATGAAGTTGCAGAATGGGTCGAGACTGACGAAGTCAGCGACTACCACACCTTCACCATTCCGTACGGGCCCAAGTATCATGCGCGCAGGATCGAGAGACTACTCTATGCCAAAGATCTGCTTCTCAACGCTGAGTGGAATCGTCCAAAGGAGCGTGAGACTGCACTTCATCGGCATCCAGCCTTCTTTGGCAACGCCACCGATGTCATTGGTGATTGCTGTGGATACTGCCCTGAGGCAGTGACACTTGAAGACAAGGAGATTGCAGAAGAAGAGAGCAAAATCTACGTCTCCGGTGAATTGTCTTTCATCAAGGATAACCCTGGACGACAAACCATCGGCTCGTTCCATCCTATTACCGACGATGACTGGACAGAGATGGCATATGTTGGAAATACAGCAAGACTGTGCCAGGCCATTGTCGATGGTGACGTGGAACACGTCCAAGACTGGCTGAGCCAGGAAGGCGCAAACCCCAACAGGCGTGACTATACTGGACGTACGCCACTTCACCTCGCTGTCATGACATCTACGCCAGAGGTAGTGCAGACCCTGATCAATGGAGGTGCTCGACTTGTAGCAAGATTAGTCGACGGCAAGACGGCCTTACATCTCGCCGCCATGCGTGGCGAAGTCGAGATGGTCAAGTCGATCCTCATCAAGAGCGAAGCCAATGAAGAGCTGGAAGCGGAGAAAGCAGCGCTCAAGCGCGGAACCTCGAAGTCAGACAAGAGTGACGCTGAGACAATGGCAGATGCTGAGTCACCTGCCAAAGAAAACGATGCCGCGCAAGAGTTCCAAGAAGACGATGATGAAGATGGCGAAGACAGCGATGTGGACATGATGGACAACGAGTCTGAGAATGCGGATGCCACGACCGAAGGATCGATGATCAAAATCGATCGCAAAACTCTGGCCGACGACCACGATGATATGCCAGACAATACCGATGACAACGAGCCTGATGTCTACGATGTTGATGTTCTCGCATGGGATGTTCCAGTATCCGCGCTGCACCTCGCTATTGCAAATGGCCATGTTGATGTTGTCAAAGCTCTCGTGCAGGAATTTGGCGCCGATGTGCTTCTTCCGATAAAGCTTGTCAATACTCACAATAAGTCGGCAAGGGCAGCGATTCTTCCCATCGTCCTTGCGGTCCAGCTTCCGATAGAACAGGCCAAGAGAATGACAGAACTTCTTATCAGCCTCGGTGCGTCCCCTGCTCAGGCCGACATTGATCATGTTACTGCTCTGCATTACTTCACTGCGCAAGGAGCGGACTTGATGAATACCATGATCTCGGCCAACCGCCCTGCTGCACAGCGAGCTGTGAATCATCTGTCGATTCCTGGACAATCACACAGCTCGTGGACGAAAGGTGCACTCCAAACAGCCATTGAAAACCGCGATAATGAAGCGGTTGAGGCTCTTTTGGAACTAGGAGCAAAGGCTCACGTCGATTTTGGCACCTACATGGCTTCCTATAAGATGACGCGGGATGCCCGAGGATCTTCAGAGGAGAACGAGAGGGAATTCCGACGCTCATTCACGCAACCAGTATTGACCGCAGTTGACACCGAGATGACTTCTCTTGTATTGACGCTCCTCGACGCAGGTGCTGACGTGAATACTCTGACAACAAATGCCTGGGATGCAGTGCAGGGTCAGAGCTACTTCCAGCGTGAAAACATACACACTCTTTTGGATGTGGTCCGACACAAAATGAAAAACATGAAACAGCTTTTGGATACCGGGAAAGACCCGATTGAAGATCGATATGCTAGCTACAATCAATTTCCGCCGGTACCCCTCAAGGATGATGCAGAATACTTTGACGGCTACAGTCCCGAATCATACGCTCATCTCTGCCTAGCGATGCAGCTTGAGGATGCTAAGAAAAGATATGAGCGTGACTTGGAGCACTACAATTCATGGTTGGAGTCGAAGAAGAAGCCAAAGGGCACTGCAGAAAAGAAAGCAGCTGTACAGGCGCTGTTCTCCGAATTTGAGGCTTTGGAAAGTCAGCTTCTTCAGAGAGGCGCGAAGACCTTCAAGGACCTCTACCCGGACGTCGAAATCAAAGAAAGTCGTTCTCATGATTACTACAACAGCAATTACCAGCCTGATCCGCCTAAAGCATGGGCCCCTCTGCTCTCCTTCTGGGTCTCAGACATGACTGATGAAAGGAGAGATGCCTACATCAAATTGTTCCAAGCATGCTGGGATGCGGACTTATCTACCATCAAGGAGCTGACCCTGGCAGTATGGGGAGACAACCAGAGTCCCCTAGAAATTGCTGTTCAGGACTATCAGAACCACTCGCCGTTTTCCATCGCCGTACTTCGCAAGCATTTTGATGTCGCTCGAGCTATTCTGGAGATTGCGCACGCGCAATATGCACCCGAAGAGACGAATGGGCATGTCAAACACAGTATGCAGCCTATCGATGAGGACAACGATGATTCTGAGGTCGACGATGATGACGTCCAAATCTACTCCGAGATCGTGGACAACCGGTTCACGATAGAGAACATTGGAGAAGTTCAGAGCCAGGTAAAGAGCAATGTCAAACCGCTAAGGCTTGTGTCATGGAACTGCCCAGTGTGGAGGTTCTTGGAAGGGGGCGATTCATCACCACCATCAACACCACAGCGTCATGCTTTGAGCGACTATCAGGACCAAATTCATCGCTACTTCTCACAGGGAACGGTCAGCAGTGGTCGTTCTCCTAGCCCGGTGCTCAAGTATGCAAGAAACGGTCATAAGCTTGCCAACGAGCATCTACCAGATGTGCTTAAACCGGAAAATCTCTTTCAACTTGCCATCCTGGTGAAAGACTCGGAACTGCTTCACTTCCTGATTGCAATGGGAGAAGACTGCACCATTCGCAAAGCCGGAGCTGCCGAAGACACAGCCGCTAAATTCTTCCATTTCGACGATGCGGACTTTTTGTACGCCATTCGTCTTGGCCGTGTAGAGTTGTTGAAAGAGATCATCAAGCGAACTGGATCGGGCATACCTTTGGACGATCTGGTGAAGAGGAGTGGTGTTACTATTCAAGAGAAGCCAAGGTTCTACCAGGGTCTTTCTGTACATGGCCGAAAGCGAGCAGACTGGGCTAACGCTGGGCGAGATGTACAAAGCCAACCAGTCGGTGCTAAACACCCGCCTCTGCTCCAGGCTGCACGATTGGGCAGCTTGGAAAGCGTCGAGTGGCTCTCTAGCGACAGTGTGCTACGTTGCTACTCGGAGTTCATCGATAACCATCGAGACGACATCCGCATTCAGAATCTGGCGAAGACAAAGGGTGGATCAGAAGCTGTGATCAGTAAATGGCTCAATCTGCGCTCGCATCTGTTAATTCATTGCGTCGTCCTAGGCAAGACGGACGATGAATCACTGCAACTACTCAGGCATCTCTGCAAATCCCACCCTGAAAAACTTGAGCATCGCTCTGCCAGTGGTATGACGCCTCTGCATCTTGCGTTCCGGCTACACCGCGTCGATATGGTCAAGGTTCTTGTAGAAGCCGGCGCCCAGCAAACCTGCCGCAACCGCGCTGGAGACAACATCCTCCACTCTATACTAGCACACTGCAACGACCCAAACGAAGAAAGGCTCGCACGTACCCGCAAACTTCTCGACCTAGTAGACCCGCTCCTTCTACCAAGCCTCTTCGAAGAACGCACCAACGATGCTCCCGGCGCCGCAACTCCCCTCGCCCGCTGGCTCCACACCGCCAACACCGGCTCCAGTAACTATCAAAGCCAAGGTAATCAACGCATCCTCTCCATGATGCTCGAACTCAGCAAGGGCAACGATCTCAGCATCATCAGCGGCGAAGGTGACACGCCGCTGCACGTCGCCACGCGCCACAACGCCGAAGCCCATCTGCGCATGATGCTCAACTGCCGCCCCGAATTGCTATTCCGTGAAAACGCAACGGGCCGCACGCCGTATGAAATGGCCGAAGATGCGTTCTTGAACAAGCGGGTGTTCAACGACCCGCCGGCGCTGACGGCTAATCATGATCCCAATGGCATGCGTAGGCGGCGGCCGCGTGGGCGTACGCCTTTCGTGGGCGTGATGAAGCGCCGGGCTTGCGAGTTTGTTGACGAGTCGGAGGTGGTTGACGCGAGTGAGAAGGTGTGGGAGCTGTGTAAGGAGGTCAAGGGGAGGGTGAAGGGGGTTAAAAGAGGGCTTGTTAGTCTTGTGGAGGCGAATGAGGTAGCGAAGAGGTTGGCGGCGAAGAGGGGGAGCAGGGGTGTGGATGTGGAGGAGGAGGAGGAGAAGGATGAGGATGAAGATGAGGAGAAGGATGAGGATGTTAAGGGGGATGAGGTAGATGTGTGGTTTTGGATGGGATATAACCTTGAGCCGTAGGCTGGGGTATGCTATGTGAGATGAAGTAACGATAATGAATATGAGAATGAGTAGAAATGTGCAAGCTTGAATCGGGTATCATTTTTCGACAAAACTACTCTGCATCCTGCATGTCCTCGTCCTCGTCCTCTTCTTCGTCGTTCCCAGCATCCTCCCCGTTCCCATCCTCATCATGCCACACATCATCATCCAAATCCAAATCATCAAAGTCCTCCAGCTCATCTTCCTCTTCCTCTTCCTCCTCTCCTTCTTCCCCAGCCTTGTGCCCGTTCGCCTTCCGATTCGCCTCCTTCTCGGCCTTTTTCCGCTCCACATTCTCCTTCTGAACCCTCCTCCTCTCATCCCGCTCCTTCTTCCTGACCGCCCACTTGCGCTCCAACTCGGCCTTCTGCGCCGCCGTCTTGGTGATGAACTCATGCCACATGATCTTGCCTCCGCACACATCTTCCTCGACTTTCGTGAGGCGCAGCTTCATGCGCGGCCCGAGCTCGACGAGTTTGACCGCGCGCTTCTCGACGCGGGGCGCGGAGCCCTTGGCGCGCGCGTTGGAGGGTGTGTCGCCGGCTTTCAGGCGCTCTTTTTCCTTGCGCGACAGGACTTTTTGGCGCGAGGGGGCGGAGACTTCGACTTCGTTTTCAAAGTCCGTGTCTGCGTCGGTGTCGGAGGCGGATGTGTATCCCGCGGCGCTGGGGTCGAGCATGTAATCTGCGACATCCTCCAACTTGCCCAGGTCAGGCAGCGCGCGCTTTTTCTTCTCGCGGCCGAGCAGTTTCTCGGCGGCGTACAGGCGGCGCAGGGGCTTGGGGACGCCGGTGATCTTTGTGGTGATGGCGTAGTGGCGCATGGAGATTGTTACGGAGCCGTTTTCTTCGCTGGGGGGTTCGCGGTTGAGCAGGAGAACGCGCTTTATTGTGTGCAAGGGCGTGGTATGTGGTTGGATTGGGGGAAACAGGCCTTGGAACATGTCTGTGACGAGTTTCTCGAGGTGCTTGGGAGGCGCCTTGTCACCCAGGCGTTCGCGCTCGGCGTCGGAGGTCAAGAAGTTGTTCATGACGAGCAGCGGCGCGACGAGGAAGTCGTTTGCGCCGGAGCGAGGGTGGCGCATGGACTTGAAGATGTCTTTGCATAGCGAGTAGTTTTCGACGCGGAAGTGCAGCGTAGGGCCGCGGGGCGTGCGTGCGAGACGGAGGTTGGTGTTGCCGGACTCTGAGCGCGAGAAGAGGAGGAGATGGGTTACGCCGAGGGGACCGCACATGACGGTGTAGTCGCGGAGTTTGTTGGCTCTTCGTTCCTGATTCCCTTTAAGCACGTGACTTCATAAGATCCTTCATCGTGACATACCTTCAGCCGCACAGCTGTGTCGGGCTCCATGACATGCCTCACATCCTGCACCAACTGGCTGACACTGCCGCCAACCTCCTGCGCGCCAATGCGAATGACCATGGTCTTTGGCTGGCCATTCAGCGGCTTCTTCGCCTTCTCCTTGTCCAGCGCGGACTGCTTCTTCCTTTGGCTTGCTCCTCTAGCCATTGCGACGGTTCAGTGTTGTGAATGTTGTGAGGTTGCTGAAGTCGCGCACTGGTCTCGAACTTTTTTTGGGACTTCGAAATCTTGGCAGCGGTCTTATCTTATCGCCGCACGCTAAACATTTTTCCCCATGCCCATGGCGCATGTCGGTACCGCGTCTTCTGAGCATCACACACCAAAAATGTCCGACTTCAAGAGGAGAAAGCTTGAGGGTGGCAAGTCTGCCATTGACGCTGCTCGCGAACGAAAAGCGCTCAAGAAAGCGAGTGCGCCGCTGAAGAAGTCACATGCGAAGCCTGCACCATCGAACAAGCCGACCGCAAAGCGACCGCCTCCACCTTCTCCACCGCAATCACAGTCGGAAGAGGACGAGGATGAGTTTGGAGGTTTCTCAGGCGAAGAGGAGGAGGATGTGTCACGTGCCAAGATGACCAATGGCTCAACTGCAAAGGCAGACGCTGAAGCCGAGCAGTCGGATGAGGAAGCAGAGGCACAAGCAGCTGCTGCTGTAGAAGCACCCAAGAAGACCTTCGCCGACCTTGGTGTGCGAGAAGAACTATGCGACGCTTGCGAGAACCTGGGATACAAGACAGCAACACCGATTCAGACAGAATCCATACCACTTGCGCTCGCAGGAAAGGATATCATTGGACTGGCAGAGACAGGTTCGGGAAAGACAGCAGCATTCGTCCTGCCTATATTGCAGGCCCTACTCGACAAGCCGCAAGCATACTTTGGTCTGATCATGGCACCCACGCGAGAACTGGCATATCAAATCTCGCAACAAGTAGACGCGCTCGGTAGCATCATCAACGTCAAGTGCGCAACCCTCGTCGGAGGCATGGACATGGTTCCGCAGGCCATCGCCCTCTCAAAGCGACCACACATCATCGTGGCCAGTCCCGGTCGTCTGCTCGACCATCTAGAAAACACCAAGGGTTTCTCACTCAAGCACCTCAAGTACCTAGTCTTAGACGAAGCCGACCGCCTGCTCGACCTCGACTTCGGCGACAGTCTGGATAAGATCTTCAAAGTCCTGCCCCGAGACGACCGCCACACCTACCTCTTCTCCGCAACCATGTCATCTAAAGTCGAATCTCTCCAACGAGCCGCCCTCAAGAACCCTGTGCGCGTCTCCATCTCCTCCAGCAGCCACCAAGTTGTCTCCACCCTGCTCCAAAGCTACATGCTCATCCCGCACAAGTACAAAGACCTGTACCTTATCCACCTCCTCAACGACAACATTGGGCACGCTACAATCCTCTTCACCCGCACCGTCAACGAAACTCAGCGCCTGGCAGTCCTACTGCGCACACTAGGCTTCCAAGCGCTCCCTCTGCATGGGCAACTCTCTCAATCCAACCGCCTCGGCGCCCTGAATAAATTCAAAGCGAAGGCCCGCGACATCCTCGTGGCCACCGACGTCGCCGCGCGCGGTCTCGACATCCCCTCCGTCGACCTCGTCGTCAACTTCGACCTGCCGCACGACTCGGAGACATATGTTCATCGCGTGGGCCGCACGGCGCGCGCGGGCAAGAGCGGCAAGGCGGTGAGCTTTGTAACGCAGTACGATTTGGAGATTTTTCAGCGCATCGAACATGCGTTGGGGAAGCAGGTGCCTGAGGAGAAGGTTAGTAGGGATGAGGTCATGGTTTATGCGGAGCGTGTGGGCGAAGCGCAGAGGGTGGCGGTGCGGGAGATGAAGGATTTGCATGATCAGAGGAAGAGTGGACGGGGCGGTAGGGGCGGGGGCAGAGGTGGTGGAAGGGGCGGGAGGGGGAGAGGTGGGAGGAGAGATAATATGGATATGGATGAGGGATAGAGAATTAAATGCGTGGAATGTGATGGATATCATATCTTCTTCTCTTCCAAGACCGTATCATGGCCGCCGGGTATCAATTAACTCCCCTTAACCTTCCTAATAACCACGACGCCCGCCTCATCCAACTCCCACCCCACCCCATCCCCCACCAAATCATCCCACCCCCTCTCCGTACACCGCTCCACAAACCGCCTATCCGCGCGCATATACGCCTTGCCCAAACACTTGAGCGCATGCACCCTGACCCGCCCATCCGCCCACTCCATCACCCCCCTCTGATACCCATCCACCGCCCTCCTCACGCGCCAAAAGCCCACCCAATCATCACTCACCAGCGCCCTGACCACCGCCTCCACGTGCCTGTCTGCATGCCTATACGCGAGTTTCGTCGCGCGCGCGCCCGCATAGTCCTGCTGCCGACACGCCTGGTCGAGAATCATCAGGCCGACGAAATCACGCAGATCGTGCGGCGGCAGCGGGTTGCGCGGGTGCAGCGTGTTGAGCAGCGAGTGCAGCGCGGGGACGTAGGATTCCCAGTCGTGGCACAGGATCGCGACGTGGATGTTGAAGTAGTATGCGCGGCGGGCGAAGGTGTCGGTGCGGTTGCTTGCGGTGATGGCTTCGCGGAGTTTGCGCAAGGCTTGCAGGACGGTGGCGAGTTCTTCTATTGAGGGGTGGGGTTCGGGTGGGGGGTTAGAGGCGGTGGTGGTGGTGGTTGTGGTGGTGGGACGGGAGGCGTATTTCGACGTCGCTAGCCCACCAGTAATCGGTTTTGAGACGGAGAGCGAGGAGAAGGAATTGGACAGATCGTTCTCGGCGATTTTGGATTCGCTTACGCTGGCGAAGAGGCGGTCGAGTTGCTCGCGGTTGAGCGCGCAGAGTTTCATGTAGCGCTCGATTATACGGCTGAGGTATGTTTCTTGGGTTTTGAAGTCATTTAAGCTGGTCGACAATCAGCAATTGCACTCTCTATCAAGTCGACATTCAGGTGTACCGCGTCTCGCCTTTTGAAGGCAGGCCATACGTCTCGAGGACGTCTTCGCGTACGGGCTTCAGGCGGTTCCAGGCACCAGATGCACCGCGACGGCTGCTGGGGCGAATGGGTTCTGAGGACCGCATGGTGGAGTATGGTGGAACGGAGTTTGTGGAGGCGGTCAAGTGGGAAGTTCGATGTGTAGAAGCTTCATGTGCTCCATTGTCCCATGTTACGCGACTTCTCCATGGCGGTGCAGCAAAAGCAGCCGCGAGGGTTGGTGAAGGGAGGTGGGATGAGGGTTCGGAGATGGTGGGGCACTTCCGAGCTTGACGCGTAGGTTGGCACGGTTGGTAAGAACTTAATGTAGACGTTCGCTTCGCATCGAAACGAAGGGCCGATTGGCATATTCACGAAGATTCGAAGGCACAGAGCCGAGGGAAGTATACTTTTGACAATACATATCTCGCAAGATACTCCACATGCGGTATAGCGCCTGGTAAATGTCATTCGAGCAAGCGTTCCTCGGCCCATGACATGTGCCCAACATTTCAATAAAATACATATCTTGTATCTCCCTCTCTTTTCTCAGCTTCTTAAGCGCACAACTCTGTCTTTGCCAATTCCACACCAGCCAAAATGGACGCCACCAAAAAAGCCGCCTCAGACGCCATCGATGAAGTTGTCCAAACAACCAAACAGGCGGAAAAAAAGTTGGAACAAAAGCTCACATACCTCTGGCACGAAATCGACGCCTGGCAACAAGACAATCCCTCCATAATCTCCGGCTACCGCCCCGCCTCAAACTCATATGCGAAATCCTTCTCCTCGCTGAGCTACCTGCATAATGAAACAGTAAATATCTACACGCACCTCTTCGGCGCCCTTTCATTCCTCATCCTATCCATCGTCCTGTACCGAACTCTCGGTCCGAGATATGCGACCGCAACAAGAGAGGATGTATACGCATTTAGTTGTTTCTTCGCGGGTGCGATTGCATGTCTAGGCATGTCCGCTACATACCACACAATATCGAACCACTCGCATGCAGTAGCACGATGGGGGAATCAGCTGGACTACGCAGGCATTGTGTTTTTGATCTGGGGCAGTTTTGTGCCGGTGCTGTTTTATGGGTTTAAGAGCGAGCCGGAGATTATGAGGAGGTATTGGGCTATGGTGAGTCTTTGCCAATATATTTGCGGTGGAAAAAGGCTGACAGGGGTATAGATCACGACTCTCGCAGCGTGCACGAGCGTTGTCTCGATGCATAACAAGTTCCGCACGCCAGCGCTGCGGCCGTTCAGGGCGCTGATGTTCGTGCTCATGGGCCTATCCGCTGTGTTTCCGGTTCTCCATGGCATCCAGCTCTATGGCGTAGCACACATGCGCGAGGCAGCTGGACTGGATTGGGTGGTTTTGCAAGGTGTGCTGTACATCACTGGGGCCGCCATTTACGCGGCGAGAGTCCCTGAGAAGTGGAGCCCCGGAAAGTACGACATCTGGGGGTCGAGCCATCAGATCTTTCATGTTTTGGTGGTTTTAGCAGCTACTTCGCATCTTGTGGGGTTGTTGAAGGCTTTTGATTTCGAGCATGGGAGGAGAAGTGGTGGTGTGGATGGTGGGTCTATGCATAAGGTTGGGTTGTGATTGTCCAGATGCCTGCATAGATGTGTATATCAATTGACCGAATCCAAATTCATAGCTTGCTTGGACAGGGTAGATTGGGCTAGATCTAGACATGCATCAAAAACAATGAAAAAGGTCACTGTATTTCATACGACCAGAAAAAGTGTGATGTTGAGCAAACGCCAGCAGACTCCAATGAAAAAGTAGCCAAGGATGATGCTAGAATTAGTTATTCTAGATGTAAGTGGCTGTGGAGACTTAGTTCATAGCAGATACTGTTGAAATCATCAATCTGGTGCACCCCACACGCGCAAACGTCGACGTTG